ATTTGACTCTCCTGTGTCTAAATCTATAGAGGGTAATATAATCATCCCACGAACGTGCCCACGAACTAATTTGAACTGATCATCATCATTATCATCATTGGTACATCATCATCATTATCATTTGCGTTTCTCTGCTTTGATATAAATGATTGTTCCCTGCTCCATATTACACAGTGTACAGATAAGACTATCCACTAATCCTATTTTAAACAAGAATAAGTTTGTAGTTAGATGCTAATTTTGTATTTTTCGTATTTTATTTATTTATTCATTTTTATTTTATTTCATTTATTATTTTTTTGTCTCTCTGTTGAAATAATACAATGTTTTACCGTGAGATTATACTAATTCCTAGTCTGTATTCTTTTTCATGAAAAAAACACATTACTGTTCTTCAAAGTCTACGTTTGTAAGATATGTTGTAATGGCCGAGAGAATACTTTAATATTGAAAGAAGTGAAATCTTGAAATGCACACAACAAGGGGACAAAGACAATGTTGACAATTATTGATGTATCACCATATTTGGTCATTTAACTAAGTTATTTACGTCCCTCCCCAATGAACGTTTTCTGTTATGGGGCGAAAATGAAAATATAATCTCTGACGCACAGGTTTTGTTTCCTGCAGACGTAGTTGATCTCCAAAATATGTTTGATCACTTGTATTCCTATGCTGAATGCTGGAATTTAAATGTGAATGCGGATAAAACTGAAGTAGTGATTTTCAGGAAACAAAAACGTGTTTTCCCATATGAGCAATGGACATAAAATTAATTATAACGGTATGTCTATTGAAATAGATCATTTTCGTTACTTTGGGCTTCTTTTTTATTTAAATGGCCTAACATATTAAAATTTACCCAATCATTGGATAATATTGTTGTCAAGGGTAGAAGTGACAGTTTGGAGGTTTTTTATTGACTAGAAAATTAAGAACTTTTATGTTAAATTGTGAAACCAATTGTTGTTATTCGACACTTAAATAGTTTGTTTACTTAATTATACTTGTAAAGTCTCAGGATTCAGTCCTGCAGTTTAAATTGAAAAAGTTCACTTGCATTTTTTTATATGAGTTCTTGTGCGAAAAAGTCATACAGATCATTCAACGGTTTAGGATGAGTTGGGTCGATTTCCTTTACAGATCAAGCTAAAAATATCCATTACACAGTACTGGTTAGAATTACTGACATCTGACAATTGCATCCTGAGATCTTGTTATAATGAACTAGACAAATTAAATATTTAAAAAAAACGAATTGGAGGACTATTTTTGTATACCAAGTCGAGCTTGAATTAAGTAGAATTGGTTTCCGCGTTAATTTGCTAGATCAGTGTGTGTCTGATGAGAAATATTTCGTGTTTTTAATCACCCAACGTGTGCAAGATATTTGTATTCGAGGAGTGAGAAGAAGCAACATAGAAAATTCTTTTAAATGTCTTCTGTATAAATATATTGTAGATAATTTCGACTTGTAAGTCTATCTCACCAAACCTTTAACTTATAAGTGTAGAAATATCCTCTCTAAGTTTAGGTTACAATCCCATGTGTTAAGTATAGAAACAGGTAGGTATAATGACGTTCCATTGGCTTAACTACAGTATCCCCTCTGCAACAGTAATGGCATCGAGGATGAAACCCACTTCATATGTTGAGTCCAGTCTACTCAGGGATCCGAACAATACATATATAAACCTTATTATGTCCGTCGTCAATCTGCATTCAAACTAACTCAATTACTCTTATGCAAAAATATTTTTAAAAAATGAGAGAAATCTTAGCAAGTATTTAATAGAATTTACGTCTATAAGAAAATCTGTCATAAATATCTTATCAGTTGCGTAAATGTTCCACTGACAATTATCATATACATGTAGTTTCATTGCTATGTTCTCCGCCATCGTATGGTCATTAAATGAAACATTCACCTACATACTTATTGTATCTTATATGTTATTTGTATTTGGAAATAAAGAAATTGAATTTGAAAATTTTTTTTTATTACGTTATTAACTATTTTAAGCTCTCTATTGTACCCAGCCTTATGAAAACTGTCCTTTTACTAATAGTGAAATCTCTGTTATATCATAATGTCATTGTCAAGATCTTGGCTGTACATGGATAGTTTCTTTATCGCTTATATTGCATCAACAAAACCTTAAAAATGTCGAGTCCAGCTATATCATTAACCATTACCATTGATGAAATATCATTTCCGTAAAAGTTATTTTTTCTAGCAGTAATTTTGTTGGATGTTTCATGTGAGACAAGAATACTATGAGATATAGAGGATCTTCAAAATTGAGTCAGAACACTGGAAATCATCAGTCCAGGACTCCAATATCTGAGTTTCGTGAATCGCTGTCGATACTTTTACTGTGTTTTCACAGTTTAACACAATTGATACTACCAGTTCTGGTTCTAGAACACAATCACATTCTTTATAATTAGAGAAATTATGTTGAATGACTTGATTACAAATTTAAGATAGATTGAGTATTTGTTATTCAAACGTCAAATTGAAATTTCTTAATGTCATAACCAATTGGGAATTATGATTATCGCAAAATCACATCTATACACTGTCATGATAAATATGTTTAAGAATTACAAACAAAGGCACATGGGGCTTGTATAATTCACCTGGATATTTCAGCTTTCAATTAAACAATTTTCATTCATAATTTCTATATATTGTTACATTCTTTCCAAAATATGGGGAATTTGAAAGCTTGAAACTCAATTTTGGCAAAATACCTACATCAAAGCAGAAAAAGAATTATTTTAAACTCTTACCTTTGTTTCCAATATTGAACTCTGCCCCTCTACAGACCCTTAATTTACATAACATTGAATACCCCTTTTCTACTGATATCTGAGGCGAAATTGTGTCAAAATACATTCATCTCAGCTGAAGCCCTCAGGAGAGTGTGACCCAACGTTTATGCAAAATCGAGTACTTTTCGCCCAATGATGATTCAGATCAAATCTGGACAAAAATCTATTCCTAAAGAAGAATTTAAATGTAATTAATATATTTCTCAATCGAGCACCGCCCCTCTGCTCCCAAAGGTATCAGATCCACTGTTTGTACAAAACTGAATCCGCTTCACCAAAGGATTTTTCAGACCAATTTTAGAAAATGAAACCATGATATTCCTACAGAAAGAGAAGGTTTTTTTTAAATAAAAAAAATGCTGAATTTCCCACATTTTGACTCTACCCCTCAGGTGCTGGAAGTCAAGAACCACCATTTGATATAACATTTGTTTCCCCTTTGCTAAGGATGCTTCTGACTAAATTCAATAAAAAAAGAGGACGTCTCAGTCAATAATGACTAGCAGCTATTGTCAGAAAGTTGATTTGATTACGCCGGGCAGCAGAGGTCGGTGGACGACGGACGCCACGCCATCGCGTAATTTCATTGGTCCGTAACACCATCACTTAGATGATTAGTTGTCCAACAAAAGATTTCCTAAATTATACAAAGACATCTAAAAGCTTCTGTTTAACTCATTTTATCTACACAAAAAATCAATTATCTCATAAGAAATCTTATTCCGAAACGAGCGTGAAGTACAAGCAACAGAAAAATTACAGAGACATAAGGTCTTATATGTGATGCTTGTAAAAGACTTGTTTCAATTTTGGTCATAAATACATATTCAGCATATTATGTACTTAATATTCTAAATCATATTAAACGTATTACGATTACATATGTATATCAACTTATTTCGATTACTGTTGCTAAAAAAATTTCCATGTGCGTGCAGTAACCCCTGTTAGGATATCTATCATTTTTTCTTTGTCCATATTATCATAAGTTGCAGAAAGTATAACACTATTGCTAGAAAAATAATGATTCTTCTACAGTTGCCGGTGCGGTAGAAAAATATGATATGGTTGTAACAAATTATTGTAGCTCATGTAGTGGAAATTTTGAATCACAAGCAATCAACCCTGACAGGCTGAAACACTTCTTTTCTTAACATTATAGTCGCGTGCTATAGATGCTATCTTTAACATCGCGTTACTGGTTTATGTCAAAACGAAATACCTGCCCGTACAAATCATTGTAACTATATTGATTAATGTCTATTTTCGGTTTCATAAGATATAGTCACTCATTTTGATACCAGTAATTAAATTTGACTCATGTAGAAAGCGAGGTTACTATACTTTTAAAAATCGACCGAGAGTGAAACAGGATTTAAAAAAAAAAATTACAAGATCATTTTGATATGTTTTGGGGATATAAAATTTTGTCCAGTTAATGTTGCTGTGTTTCTATTGAAATACGCTGGAATATAGTTAGATATGTGTCCTGCGTTGCAGACATCTGATCTTCTTTCGCTCTCAACATGATAATCTGAGGATTCTGATAGGATTTATAGATATAAAGTGATATGAGCATATTCTACAGAAAGGTAAGTCCCAGATAATTTATATCAAACCTACTTTTAGAAGTCACATTCACAATGGAAGCGCATCGGTGATAACTTCAACTTTTGTGAAAACTGGTGTCCATGCAAAGATGTTTATCAAATCTAGTCATTACTGACTAAAATAATTGGGATTTTTAAAGCATTCTACATCATAAATTATAAGCTAATAAATAGATTGCACTCTTTAGGCATAATTAATCTGTAACTTTAAATAATCATTTGGCAATTACATATCATACGTTATCGCCTACAAAATAGTCTCAAATGTAACAAAGCACAATACAATTTACAATTCAATTTAATGTACAAATAATTTTGTTTTATATAATACCAACCACACAAAAACACTAATCATTCACAACCTTATACAAACAACGTTCGCACAATCACAAACACAAATGAGTTGGTAGTAGCGCATAATTCTGAAAGAGTTTGTCATCAAGAGTTGTCGGCTCTTAGTTTCAGATCGCTCCGTTGAGGGCGGGAGAAGTATTGATGGAAGACTGTTTACGTGCAGTACACATGTAGTCGCCAAGTTGACCTGAGTTTGCGATGGATTTTTCGGCTCTCAGTTCTGAATTGCAAAACATTGCCGGCAGATACAATGGACGAGATACCGATCCTGCTTATTCCACCACAATGTATTGTGAAATGTTCCACAAGGTAAGTGTAACATGCGCCAGAAGTAGGTAGGGGGCTCCTAAGATCGGCCATCATTCTCACATTTTATGACATTGCGGCCTTGCAGTTCGGCACGTATGACATGCAAAACTGGACGATATCTGTCCCCTCTATAAATATACTTTTAAATGGGCCATTGATGTTGGATATTAGGCTCTCGCAATGCACTGTCATGCGGCATTGAACGTATAACTTTTGTTAATCTTTCCGATGTCCTGTCGTAGAAGGAAATTAGGGCACGGGGCACTTCGAATTTACGAATTAAATGTGAAAAGTAACATCAGATATCTTACATAATATGTGCATCCAGCTTCGATACATTTTTCTTCGAAAAGAAACACAATTCTTGTGCAATATAGGCTCTTGGTACAAATTTATAACATGATATGAAATTAGAGGATGTGGAAATCTTTAAACAGACGCTAGCTATGAGCAGCACGTAACAGAACCCACACAATACATAGCACATAGACGTCGATACACACAGAATCAACACACAGACGTGCTCTATATCGCTGTGGTATGCATGTGTGTTTTGTACCGACTCTGGGTCGGTGTTGTGTGGCACAGCGAGGCATATTATAAACCGACACTGGTGAATTCATACAGGACAGAGGGCTGCAAACCATTTGTAGATTTTATGTGCATGTTGATTTCACTTCTGATCAATATTAATTTTAATTCATTAGTATGCATTCATGAAACATATAATAAATTAGAAAGATTTCTTTTTCATTCGTTTTATTAATTATGTCAGATTTTGATCTGAATATATTCATTTGTTTTTTTTTTAATTTTCATTGTTAGAATGGAATATATGTTTAAGGTTGGAATTACCAAAATTATACCATTTATTATCAGATAAAAGTGTAATAGGATTAGTATTTTTTCACTACAGAGCAAATTTTTAATAAAGAGGGGAAAAGTCAATTTATTATTTAAATAAATGATTGATGAGTCATGTGGATATTTAATTAATTTTCATATTTGTTTAAATTTTTTCATGTTGTCATGATAATAATGGAAATTTTAAAAGTTTAATTAAATAAAATTTGATCAGTGGTTTCAAAGATGAAAATATGTATTGATATATCAAGTAAAATGGCTTAGTCTAATCAAGGATATTGAATTTCATCATCCTTAAGCCAAGGACTTGCACATTTTTTGCCACAAATGATTTCTAGTCTTATGAGATGATATATGTAGATGTAATGATTTTTCAAATCTCTGCCAATGAGCTAGTAAATTAGTAATCACTATAATTTACTTGTGTTGTTTTTTTACAAGCTATATCACTTCTGTCGGTTAAGGCTTAAAATGAAAACCAACAACTATACACCAACACGATTTTAACATTGAGTAAAACTATTTATTAGATGAGAAGTTAAGGCATTTTGGTGGAAATGTAGATATTATTTAAATTTCTTGTGGCCTCATGAGCTGCGATGTGCATCAATGCATATATGACAACAAATGTTTATGGTTTTGGCATGTGCAGCATAAATTATTACATATTCTATACAAGTGGGTTTTTTTCTTTTCTTTGCCTTAAAACTGTATTTTTCTCCAAAACAGATTGTGAAAATGTTAACTCATGTTAGAATGGGTGTCAATACTCTCAAGAATAGAGTGGCTACGAGAACAGGAAGAGAGTACTTTGTGAACTTTTCTTCATTAAGAATACACTTGCTAACTAATTTGAATTTCTATGGGAGAAATATAAAAATTTCAAGCTGCTGATAAACTGCAACCTTGAAACAAATAAAAAATACTGAATACTGTGAATTATAAATATAAATAATTTATTGTAGACTGAGATTTTATGTCTAAAGTAGATGACAGACATTTAGTAGATGTCCTCCTAGAAGGATGGACACTATGATACGATAAGCAATTTTTTTTTCTTAAGGAATGGTTAGTTCATTATTCAAATTCCGGAAATATTTTATTCTTTTTGTCCTAAAGGAAAATTCCTTTAATCAAAGCTTTTAAGGTTCTTTGAACAATGCACAAATTCTTGACATTAATTACAACAGCTATAACCTGGCTGAAAACTATTGTAAATCTAGCATACATTGTACAGAAATAATTTTCCCTAATGGTATATGTGGTTTCCTGTTTGATATATAGAGGTACACACACACCGCCACTTATGCAAACTAGGTGGTAATTGTATTGACCTAAAATGGTCTAGAATATCATAATTCATTCATATGCAATTTTTGCACAATTTTAAAAGGTGAACAGTTTAAACTATCTTTTTTGCACATATTTTTAAAACTTGTGAGAAGAGTTTCTAAAATAAGAAGGCAAAGTATGCAGTAATTGTAAGTCTGCTTTTTGGGGATGTAGTTATATGTGAGTCATGCTCCGTTGCTTCTCCATTGGAACTCCCCTAAATATTGCGGACCCACTGTGTTGTTGAATTATATTTTTTAAAAATGTTATTTAAAGGAACTGTATTTATGTAGTGCATACCATGCATGTACACATGCGTGACCACATGTACATGGAGATTACAGGGAATACACCTGTAGTGGTTGAACTTAATCCTGCAATATATACCTGGTGCATGTATACAGATCAATGATATATATCATTCACATGATAGCACTAACAGAAGTAACTTGACTTGGAACCCACTTGACACAGCCTGAACATAATTAATGTAATATCTGACTGGTGTTTTCACATTGTTTTTAAGAAACCCACTATAACATGCATACATTTATCCATTTTACAATCTTTTAGCAGTTTTTGGTTTCTTATTCGAAACTCTATATCTAAAGCCATGTCTTGTATTTCTACTCCATTTTGCTTATTATAGCAAAATGATGACAAGGTAACTTTATGACTTGACAGTGGATTTGTTTTAGCAAGGTTCAATCTCACTTACATGTGTGAACCTTGACATTAATTTAGATTCAGGTTCAGATTTATTTTTTAAGAATTGCCGACTAGACATGAATGCCCTTTTCATACCCTAGAATCAAATTAAAATTAATTTTGGAAATTGAAAAATGTGATACAATATAACTAATTTCTTCAATAAATATGTTAAATATGTAATTCTATCAGATGATGTCATTTTTTAGCAAGGTAAAAATTATCTGAATTTTAGTTGGAATCTGAGTATAGATATATATCCACCTTTCATGATATTTAATAACATTGACCACATACTGTGAAGGTTTTTCCCACTGCATACACTGCATATACCAATATGTCACCAGATTTGTATTTCTTTGAACATCAGATAAGGTTATGTTGTGTATATTCAAATGCTACAACAAACAGGCAAACCATTACTAAACCATCGTCACATAACATAATTTCATACAGAGATGTGTTTATAATTTAAAGTTTTCACTTGTTTATGTGATCAAAAAAATTAATGTTTATGTAAATGCATTGTTAGTGTCCTTACAAAGAGACTTCATATCATAACAATACAGACTTTATGTCATAACAAAACACACTTCATGTCCTTATAAAACAGACAAATGTCCTTACAAAACAGAATTTATGCCTTTACAAAACAGACTTCATGTCCTTACAAAACAGACTTCAAAACAGACTTTATGCCTTTACAAAAACAGACTTCATGTCCTTACAAAACAGACTTTATGCCTTTACAAAAACAGACTTCATGTCCTTACAAAACTGACTTGATGTCCTTACAAAACAGACTTCATGTCCTTGTCCTTACAAAACAGACTTTATGTCTTTACAAAAACAGACTTCATGTCCTTACAAAACAGACTTCAAAACAGACTTTATGCCTTTACAAAAACAGACTTCATGTCCTTACAAAACAGACTTCAAAACAGACTTTATGCCTTTACATAAACAGACTTCATGTCCTTACAAAACTGACTTGATGTCCTTACAAAACAGACTTCATGTCCTTGTCCTTACAAAACAGACTTTATGTCTTTACAAAAACAGACTTCATGTCCTTACAAAACAGACTTCAAAACAGACTTTATGCCTTTACAAAAACAGACTTCATGTCCTTACAAAACAGACTTCAAAACAGACTTTATGCCTTTACAAAAACAGACTTCATGTCCTTACAAAACAGACTACATGTCCTTACAAAACACGCTTAATGTCCTTACAAAACAGACTTCATGTCCTTACAAAACAGACTTCATGTCCTTACAAAACTGACTTGATGTCCTTACAAAACAGACTTCATGTCCTTGTCCTTACAAAACAGACTTTATGTCTTTACAAAAACAGACTTCATGTCCTTACAAAACAGACTTCAAAACAGACTTTATGCCTTTACAAAAACAGACTTCATGTCCTTACAAAACAGACTTCAAAACAGACTTTATGCCTTTACAAAAACAGACTTCATGTCCTTACAAAACAGACTTCATGTCCTTGTCCTTACAAAACAGACTTTATGTCTTTACAAAAACAGACTTCATGTCCTTACAAAACAGACTTCAAAACAGACTTTATGCCTTTACAAAAACAGACTTCATGTCCTTACAAAACAGACTTCAAAACAGACTTTATGCCTTTACAAAAACAGACTTCATGTCCTTACAAAACAGACTTCATGTCCTTGTCCTTACAAAACAGACTTTATGTCTTTACAAAAACAGACTTCATGTCCTTACAAAACACGCTTAATATCCTTACAAAACACACTTCTTGTCCTTACAAAACAGACTTTCATGTCATAACAAAACAGACTACATGTCCTTATAAAACAGACTTCATGTCCTTACAAAACAGACTTCATGTCCTTACAAAACACGCTTTATGTCCTTACAAAACACACTTCTTGTCCTTACAAAACAGACTTCATGTCCTTACAAAACAGACTTCATGTCCCTACAAAACAGACTTCATGTCCCTACAAAACAGACTTCATGTCCTTACAAAACAGACTTCATGTCCTTACAAAACAGACTTCATGTCATAACAAAACAGACTTTAATGTCATAACAAAACAGACTTCACATCTTATTACGATTGCCAATAAACTATTGATACATAATGATGTAGGCCTACTGATACAATTGTAAATGGCAGTCTTTATAAACAACTCAGAATTTTTTTTTCTGACATTCCTAAGCCGACTGTTGATGTAAATAGAAACCTGTTGTTATCGACTAGAGTTACTGTGTGCACTACTCCATTAGCACTTGTAATAAATTCCAGCTGCTCTGGTTTTGTTGTTGTCTGTGTTGGATTGTTTATTATGATCTACTGCTGAGCAGTAGATAAAAGGCATTGGATGCTGTACCCAGTTAAAAAACCCATTAACAACAAAAATGTACTACACCTTATATATTTAGAAATGTTCTATAAAAGAAAACATGACATTGTTATCATTTGTCTGACAAAAATATAGGACATTGTCTGGTAATGAGCAAGATTTGTAGACGTGTTACACAAAGTGTTAGATATTATTGTTTTATTTTGTTCAGTGATTCATTGTACTATTTCATTTACATTCTCAGATCCTTCAAAAGACGGAGACTGAAGTTCATGACTATGCTGACCAAATCGTGATACTATGGATGACCCTGTCACAACTTTGCAATACAGCTAATACATTGGCACCATGTCCAGCCAGGCATGAACTTTACCAGGATATCTTTTTGTATGTATAGATAGTCATGTAGATACCTTTTGTTGGGTATCGGTTGTCTTTACATAATCAGTGATCTGCTATAACTGGTTTATAATTTTTGATCAATTATCAGTAATCCGAGTTTGTGTTTAAGCTGTCCCTATAATATTTTGAATATAAATCAATAATTGCATTGTGGATTACTTTAAATTTGGTTATTTTAACAAGGGGAGGGGAGATAATTTTTGCAATTTCAAGAGGCCAACTGTACACAATGGTTACTTTTGTGAGTAGTGTACCTTCACAAATTTAATTTATACTTTTTATGTATGTAATACATCACAAATTCATATGCATGGGTGAAGTTTAGGTGACTAAATTACTTCTGCAGAGCTAGTGTAAATTCCCTACCCCCATGGAATTTACAGTAATAACAAATCACAATCATTTGTGGAATCTGCTTGTGTCAGTTATGACAGTTAGAAAAAGCAAGCATATGTTGCACTTTAAGGAAAAAGAATTCCATTTTTTTTGTATAAAAAAATCAGTGTTTTCATACAAAGTCTTAATTCACCCTTTACATCTATCCACAGACAATGTGCAAAAACAGTTCTGAACATTAAGTGGCAAAATTTGGCAGAGGATGACCATAGTAAGGAGAACTTCATCGAAACAGTCAAGGCCACACATGTGCAGTTGGTCACCACTGGATTTGACCGCTTCAGTCTGCTCCTCCATCTGATGGAGAATCCCTGGACAGACCCTACCCTCAGTGAGATCATGTCGGGCGAGGCTGATAATGATGATGGTATGCAGGATCAGTGTTGTGTCATATCAAATGATTGACCAAGGATTTCCTTTGTTTCAAACCTTACATCATAGTTTCATGTTATCATTTTGATTTAAACAATACCAATGAAAGAGAAACCAGATGCCAGTTTAACGCTAAGTTAGATTTTACTACACAAAATGCTGTTTGCGCTAATGCTTGAAAAAATGTTTAAGTTATGTGAAAAAACAGAATCTTGGATTAGTTTCCAATACATATGAGGGTTATGAAATTTGTCATTTTTTTTTTTTTATTTTACATCACTGGAGTAAGATTGACAAGGAAAATCATTTACAGCCCTTTGTATATAAATAACAGTAGTTATTAGTTTTGAAACTCATTTATGGCTCACTGTATATAGTAAGTAGTAGTTAACATCATTATGTCACTGATAATAGACTCTTTATATTTATGTTGTACAATATAAATGTACCAACTAAAATTGAGATATTCAAATTTTTTCACATTTCTAAAGGTATTCGTCCTTCCTAATGTTTCCCTAGAAACTACCTCACTTTCGGCTTTAATTTGAACATTTACCCCTGATAGGACATTGTAATATAAAACCAAACCAAACTATTGCTACTAGTCGCCAATTGTGAAGTGCAGGGTATATTAAAAGTGTAATATCTCCTGTCAAAGTGTCCTTTATTATGTCAATAATGGTAAAATTTGTGATCTTAAAGATGCTGTTCAGACGTACATCGGAAAGGAATCATCGCTGATCCTTAAGCTACGAGTAGAGATGCTGATGCAAGAGAATTGTGAAGAATTTGCTCTCAATCTGTGTAACACATTGATGGGACATGAAGTATTTGTTAAGGACATGGATCTTCGTGAGACTCAGCTTAAACTGCTGCATAAACTCAACCAGATGGACAAGCTACAGGAAGTGGTAGGTCACAACTGTTGAAATTTGACTTAGTGTATAGAGTAATTGCAATCTTAATCTTTGTGCAAATTGTTAAAGAGTCTGTGTAGGGACAAATAGTTGTAATGATACATAGTACTATAATTAAACAATTTAACAAATATGAATAATAAATTAAACAGTATGTGTCAATCTTCTCATTTGATGAAAATAAATGTGTCTTTATTCAAACTACACAATTAAGTTTAAAAAAAAGGTTCTATTAACTGATTAAGTAACCAGAACACGGATGTTCCTATGACAATTCCTAGCAACAAGGAGAGTCATAGAGATGGAAAAATTAAAAACTTGTAACCAACCAACTAGCTGCTGATTGATTTCTACTACTATATATGATAAATGGTTAAGTTATTTGGGTGGATGGTAGTGCTACATTTTATGGTGAATGGCTATTATATTGATGGTGGTGATTTCTTTCATAAAAAATCATAAAATATAATACCCATGTACAGTATACTGTTGCAATTCTAAGTAAATATTTATTCCTCGAAATTAAAATCTTTCTTTGTGATGAATGGTCATTCTGTTACATCTTAGAAGATTCTTTGGTGTTAATTGTTTCCTTAGTGTGAGAAGATTGTGTGTCATGATGGTGTTAAGTTGGTGCTGCGACTCGAGCAGAAGGAGTGTAACCAGGCACTAAGTGTCCGGCTCATCCAAATCTTCCTGGTACAGGACTGGATCAAACCTGAACAAAAGTGCTGCACGCAGGTAAGTTGATTTTTGGATTCATTCAGGACTGGAAAAAATCTTAAGAGAAGTGCTGCACAGGGTTAAGATACCAATGAGTGTCCAACTTGTCCAAATTTTCCAGGTACTAGACTGGATCATACCTTGAACAGATGTGCTGCACACAATCAACAAACCTAGATTCTATTAATTCAGATGTCATATGTATTATCTCTGTCTTAAGATTTTTAATAATTTGTAAAAATTGATTTAAATTTGATTCGATCAGAGAATTAGGGAAGTTATGAGACACAAAGCCATTGAGAGTGTGATAACAGATCAAATGACCAGACCAGTTAACTGGTGTGTGGCCACTTAGTATTGCAGAGATGGGAATTTGAACTTCACAAATTTGTGTCGAGTGATTGTTGCATTAAGTGTGAATCATTAGTACAATGTGATGTGATTCTTCATTTACGTTAGATGTATAAGCATTTATGTTAAATGCTGCTTTGTTAGCTTGATATACCAATGGATGACATAGCACAACTGAAGTATCAATGTGAGCTAATCTTTAAGTTTTTTTCTTGAGATTTTTTTTGCTGTCTTACTTTTGGGAAGAAAGTGTCAAGCACGAAAGGAATAGTATAGATGGAGGCTGTTACCACTCTTACAGGTGGAAGTATCAGACTCAAAAGAGAAATTTTATTAATCTTTACTTATATGGATGAAATTCTGACCAATATGGTGGCAAGTACCCATAAAGGATGAATTTGATTTATAAGTGAATAGTTTGGGTCAGTTTGGAAAGAGAACATTTAGTTTCTGTTGGAGAATTGGGGCAAAAATACTCTCAACATCATTAATTTGTGATTGTAATATTTGGAATGAGATTTTGACATGACTCATTTTTAAATATTGCTGGTCATGACACTGAGAAAGTTTTCCTTATGTTGGACTGCTATCAGCCATGTCTGTTAGATTAGTTTTTACTGTCCAGGTTTTTCAGATGTATTGTTGCCATACCAAGTGTTGTTATTTGAGATCATCTTTTTAAATTTATAATGACAACATTTTAATTTCTTGTAAATAAAAGTAACCCTATGTACCTCTCTTTTCATCAGCAGATGAGTAAGAAAAGACACTGAGGTTTAAATGTGTTGTCTCTTTTTGGTTAATGTGAAGAATTCATTGATAAGTTAAACCTTTAAGTGTGCCTACCAGCTTACACATTACCTCATTTCTATGAATGGTTTTCTGCATATTGCTTATATATGGGTGATACCTTTACACAAAACTTGGAGTCCACTGATATTTTTCCTGGAATAACCTGAATGTTTGATGTAGAGGAAAATCACTACAAATAATGAATCAGGTATGGAATATTTTAATTAAGTTTTATCACTTTTGGAGGCTTGAAATCTATACATGTTTGTTTTGTAGGAGTTGCTGAAATTGTGGATTCGGCACCAGTATATTGCGGACCACAACAAGGAAAAGTTCTTAGACAGTGTGTGGGCCATCGCCAAACTTTCACTGACAACACAGCAAATCCTACTGCTTGTAAGCGGACTCCAGAGAGAGGTGAGTGTTAAAAAATGACATATTACCAATTTTTACCCACCTTCCCAAAGTAATTCAGATGTCATGGTGTCTTATCTCTGAATCGAGTAGGTGTATTGGAATCCAAAACTGTTACACTCACATCTTTTTAGATTTTAAACTTTTCCACTACTACAAGGTGAATTCTAACAAATTGAACAAGTTCCTCATGGTTGTGAACTGGCTTGCTATGATTTATAACACAAATTGTGGTTTGTTCTTATAGACAGTAACAAAGTAAATGGTAGACCTGAATAGCAATCATGTTTATTTTTTATGTTAGTGATGACAGTAGTATATTGTAATCAAAATCCACTCGTCATTATGATTAGAAACAAAAATCAGGAAGATGGTGGAAATTTATAATATTTCTAAGGAAAAATAAAGTGTGAGTCCTTATAAAATGGTACCATACAAATTTGAAAATTAAAGAAGAAAAATTCATTGTGAAATCCATTGTTGTCTGGAAAATGTCGCTAATGTTTACATCTACTATGTACTGATTATGAAACCAAATTATGAAACCAACCTGGATGTACCAAGTGAAGTATAGTTCATTAGTCATATAACATGGGGTTGATGTGCTGTTCATTATTTGCTAAATCAATGAAGAAAATAAAATGAAAGAATCAAGCATTTTGCTAAACCCAGAAAATTGAATCCACAGCCACCCAATTAAGTAAAGTATTTTGTGATGTTAAGACATAGAGAATAAATACATGTTGTATTCTGTATCAGATTGCTTTAATATTTACAAGGATTCTGAATTTTGTTTCCTAATATGATATAGTAGTGTTAGTTTATCTTACCTGATCAGTCCGCTTTCCTGTTGATGAGAAATCATTGTAATACATGAAGATATTTAACTTAAATTATTGGTTGATTGCAGTGTGGCAATGAGATGATCCAACTGTACACAGACCTGTGTGTGTATGCCATCAATGTAGACAAGGGATGCTGTGAGCAACAGATGCTGCAGGGAAACATGGAAGGTGTAAAAGAACGACAACAGGCCATTGCACAGACCTGTCGCAAGTTGTCTGCACTTTACAATGGGCTAAACCCAAAGATATCTCGCATCAGCTCTCTGACAGCATTTTCCCTTGATGCATCGCTTGTGAACTTGTGCCTGGTTGAAAGAATGTTCAATAGGAAGTACTGTACTCATTCCAAAAAGGAGTGTGCTGCCTGCATTAAAGTGTTTAGCAGTGTGACTCATTGTGTGGGTGATGTCAAGGTTAATCCAGCCACTCTTTACGAGGTAGAACGGTTATTGAATATGCTAAGACCCTATTACCTCAATCCAGACTTGGCATGGAAGGAGCTCTTACCTGTGTGTCAGAAATTCATGAAAGAGAGAAACCAATCCTCTGGAGAAACCAAGGAGGAGACAACTCCACCAAAAACTCCTCCAAAAAAGAAAGATGAATCAAAACCTAGAGCAAAAAAGCCTTCGGTTAAAAAGGAGATGAATATTTCACCAGGAAATATCAAGTACTATTGTGACGATAATGTATCCTATCTGCCAAAAGAAAGTGTTCCAAAAATGAAAAATAAAAACTTCAGATTGAAGTCAGCAGCCAGTTCAACATCATGTACTCAAACACCAAAGTCAGAGGAGGCTAAAGCTAAGCAACATACAGTTAAACCAGTGGCAACACCTTCCAAAGCAAGTGCAGTATTTGAGTTTGATAAACAATTATATCAATATAATTTCAAAGGAAGAAAACCATTAGATACAAGTTCACCCTTTTTGTCATCATCTACTGTTGCCAGAGACCAAATTTCACCAGCAGGATCCGAACTATCAAATCGTTTTGCCACCAACCATCCAAAGACACCTACACAGGTAGCAAATGTGAAATGTCAGGCTGTAGGGGTGGACAGCTTAGGTAAACCTGTGTTAGTAAAGCTGCCCATCACTGTTGGCTCACACCAGAGTACAACCACTCTGTCCTCCACTGTCAGTACTGCTGTTGCACCTGCAGCCTCTCCACAAACATTGTATATTGGGGATACCTCTGCCTTAAGTCTACAGTCTTCTAACCCCAATGGAGGATTGCATGTTCAAGCTCAAGGAAAAATTCAAAAACCTAAAAAGCGCCAACCACACAGCATTGGAGAATTATTAGAAGCTACAAAAATTATGCCTTGTTCCACTTCGTCCAATTTTACTACTGCTGCAACTGTCATGGCTAATCCAAAACCTGCTACTCAGCCGTCTTTGCCAACATCGGCTGATTTGTTGAGAGCTGCGCGTGATTATAATTTGACTATAGTGCAGAAACCAGCAACTCCTAAGCCTTTCCAAACTCAATACAGTACTGCAGATCTGTTAAGAGCAACAAAGAACATCCCTCAAAAATCCAAACCAGAAGTGCAATCAGCCAGTAACCTGCAAAGTGCAAAGGATATGATGCAGGCAACGAAAGCAGCATTTGCAGCATCAGTTCTTGGTTTCATCCCCAAACCTCAGTCTACAATTTTGTCTGAAGTATCTAAAGGGACGGTACAAACGTCAGGAGATAGCAGTAGTGTACATAGCTCAGGTTTAGCACGTAAACAAACCAAAAAACCTAAAGCTTCCAAGAAAACTGTCAATTTAGTCCCAGGACAGATCCTCGATAAGGCAATGTTAAATGAAATGACTGTCTCCCAGTGTAATAATGTTCAGACATCAAGCAATAGAACTGTTATAGCCCATTCTTACAAGACTGCTGATGGAAACATATCTTTCTTGTCATCTAATGTTGTAGGGGCCTCCAACAACGCACCTCCCTTGACTAACCCACTCAATGTCCAAACCGTGTCTCCAGTCCGTCCAACTGCTAGTTCATACCAAGTAACTACCAACGATAAAACAAATCATCGTCCACGTATTATTCCTGTTCGGGCTACGGGCAACAGCAAATTCCCGCCTTACTCCTCTGCAGTGGTAGCAGTCAGCAGTACCACATCATCCCCAGGGCAGGGTGCCAACACTGTGGTGACAACAAGTCAAAGTTCCATCCCTTCAACCCAAACACATATTGAACCAGACATCTATAATATGTTTACAAAAGAAAAGCCAGTTCTGAAACAGTCTCCAGCAGCATCAAAGATTGAGGGCTTTCGACGTCCCTCTGCTGATGAACTTCAAAGCATTGTTGATTGGCTTCAAACTGGCACTGAGGATGATAAGAAGAAAGTACAGACTCAACCTAAAGTGTCAACACATGTTACTACGTCCACACAGGAAATGGTCATCTCAGTGCCATCTACTGTCCAGAGTAGAACACCACCATCTGTGGTCACTCCAAATGCCACATCAACATCTTCAATGGTCTTGTCATCTTCTGCAGTAACTCCAAAGATGGTATCTTTAACTCCTGAACAGCTGCAGAAAATCATGGCAGGGTTAAGTCAACGACAGAAAATGAAACAAAAGTCACCAACTGTTACTAAAATACAACAAAAGAAAGGTCTTAATAAACAGCTTCAACAGTTGTTAGCCAAAGACATCAATGATGGAAATCAATCAGAAAAGTATGCAGCTGCAAGTGGAAATAACTTGGTTCAGGGTGATGTTAAAACAGTGCAATCTTCATCAACACCTGTCAGTCATCTGGTTCAACCAAATAAAGCATCTGGAAATCAACTAGTGCAACAATTAACAATACCTGGAAATCAAATAGTTCAAACGTCAACAACACCAGGAAATCAGATAGTTCAAACATCAAAAGCACCTGCAAATCAGCTGGTTCAACCATTAACAGCTCCTGCAAATCAGCTGGTTCAACCATTAACAGCACCTGGAAATCAGCTAGTTCAACCATTAACAACACCTGCAAATCAACTAGTTCAACCATTAACAACACCTGCAAATCAACTAGTTCAACCATCAACAACACTTGGAAATCAACTAGTTCAAACGTCAACTACACGCGGAAATCAACTAGTTCAAACATCAACAGCACCTGGAAATCAACTAGTTCAACAATTCACAACACATGGAAATCAACTAGTACAACAATTAGCAGCATCTGGAAATCAACTTGTTCAACCATTAACAGCACTTGGAAATCAACTAGTTCAGCAATCATCAACACATGGAAATCAACTTGTTCAACCATTAACAGCACCTGGAAATCAACTAGTTCAACCATTAACAGCACTTGGAAATCAACTAGTTCAGCAATCATCAACACATGGAAATCAAATTGTGCAGTCATCAATACCCCAAATCGGTCCACTTGTTCAACCAACAACAATGGTTGGAAGTCAGCTAGTTCTACCGTCAGCAACACATGTCAGTCAAATAGTTCAACAATCTACAATTGTTGGAAATCAACTGATTCAGCCTTCAACAACAAATATCAGTCAACTAGTTCAACCATCAACAACAGATGTCAGCCAACTAGTTCAGCATTCAACATTAGTTGGAAATCAATTGGTTCAGGCCTCAACAACACCTGTAGGTCAATCAGCTATGCAATCAGCAATAGTTGGAAATCAACTACTTCAACCATTGACAACGAATGTCGGTCAACTACTTCAGACATCAACAACATATGTAAGTCCATTGGTTCAACCATTAGCATCTAATGGAAATCAGTTACTTCAATTATCAACAACAAATGGAAATCTGGTTCAATCAACACTGTCATATGCAAATCAGCAATCATTCAATCATGGTGTTGGTGTGGAAAATCTATTCATCCAACCAGCAGGAAATCAACCAGTTCAAACAGCACCTCCACCTGAAAATCTACCCCTTCAGCCATCACCATCACCAAGAAATGAACCGTCATTGGTTGAAGGAAATCAAGCTAGTCTTCCTCCTTCTTCACTTGGAAATCAAGACACCCAACCATCAGAAATATCTGGAAATCAACCCATTCAGCAGTCACAAAATCAGAAAGTGATTTTGGGAAATTCACTTCATCAATCACAAACAGCAGGTACATATGTGGGAAATCAACAGATACCACATTCTCAGGTCCAGCAAGGTTTAGTACATGATACCAACATGACATCAAACTCATCTGTCAAATCACAGCACACTCCTGCCATAACTTTGCCAGTTAGTTCACCTTTGACTGTGAGTCAGTCGCTGCCAAGTATAGATCAGCTTGCCAATGCTATGCAAACTACCAGTACCCCTGGAATTCAGTCATCACTTAGTTTTCCATCACAGTTTCAAATTAGTGGATCAAAATCTCTGACGCTGTCTCCAAATCAACCAACTACAAGAGTGTTTGAGCTACAGTATTTGGGACATATCAATCCACCATCCAAAGTTCTGCATCCTAAATCGCCATCAAAAGATAATTTGTTGACTCCTTCAACAACTGCACCTGGAGACCAGGTCAGTCACCAGGGGAAGAGTTCTGAACTTTTACTTGAAACAAATTTGAAAGCCAGTGATCTTCAGGGATTAATGAGATCAAAACAACCAACATTCATTCCAAAGACAATATCATCTGCAGATGAATTGAACATACCTAAAATGCCTTTGGGAACACTGAAGGTAGTAGAAAAACCTGACCTCATTTCTACGTTAAATAGGAGTCCAGCAAGGCTTAGTATAGACCATAATCCTTCTGCAACAATCAGTGGTGGTGTAGGGAATCAACAGCGCTTTGGTGAAAGTTGTGAACCAGCAGTGACCAGTTACTCTGATCATGGTGTATCTACAGACACTGGACAGGATGAACAATCATCGAAACTAACTCTACCTGTGCATTGCAACACTATTTATGATGTTCCAAGCACATCTAAAGTGTCATATCCTCAAAACAGTGAAAAAGCTCCAACAGGCACACATACTTCTTCAAATGAAGTTGTATTCTCCCTTAATGAGAACTCCAGTGTTTGTGGACGTGTGAAAGATGTATCAAATGGCATTGACTCCCAAACAAATGGTAACACAGTTAAGTATTCTGAGGCTGATTCAGGACCTGTAAGCCTTGCTACTACTTCTGAATTAACATCTAGCTCCGAGAGGGACGGAAATGTCAATAATATTGATTCCATTGTGATTACTCCAGATACAAGCAGTGAAAAGAAAGTTTTACAAACTAACTGTGAGGACTTCGATAAAACATCTGAAAAGGAATCGAAGATATCTACAGAAACAGCTGACAGCACAATCAGTCCAGAATTACATACTCTGACAATGTACAGTGATGGTGATGCTAGGAACCAGGCCTCTGTAGTCAATAAGCAACATAGTAATGAAGGAAAGGACAATTTCATAAGTGATCAATTCCAGGGAAACAACACTGATGTAAAGAATGACAAGAAATCTGAAGGACAGGTGTCTGATTCAACACCATTCAGAACTATGGCCCATGTCACTGGCGATGTCATATTGCCAACTCCCAAAGGTGATAATCTTGCAGGTGAAGCCATGCCGATGATCAAAGTACCAAGCATGCAAAATACTGAAAGGCTGCCAGAAAAAGTGGAGTCTAAGGCAGCCAACTGTTCTATGGTGACAAGTAAAGAGTCTAACTTGTCTAGTATGAGGGAGGAAGACCCTGGGGAGCCTGGGAAAGACATTCTCACACCAGAGCCATCACAAGGTGTGTTCAAAAAGATTGAAGAAGGAAATTTGATGGATTCCACATCATCTACAGTTACTTCCAGTGCAGAACATGCCGAGAAAGTTTCAGACAATGTTACGATGGTGTCTACCTGTGTTTCTGACAATACTTCTGGCACAGGTGATACTCAAAAGAACAGTAAACAAAGTTGTGCTAATGCTGATAACTTTGAAACAGGGGAGGATACCGTGAAAGACGACAAAGTCTTGACATTGGACGATGCTTTGGGTGAATCAGCTGCCTTGTTGTCAGCACCTATGGTACCTTTTCCTGCTGACCCAACTCAACAGGTAGATAACTTGACATCAGAGTATAGTAATCCAAATTTATCAGATAAACAGGACAAATCCTCAGAGAAAAGTGATGTTGATGCTGAGAGTGCTCAACCTGAGGTGCACATGCGGCCTACACAGGAATCAACAGTTGGATTTGAGTTCAGAGATGGTCAAGGTTTATCAGTCCAGACAACAAAAAGTTCACAGGATACTCTGAAAACAATGAAACCTCTAGACGAAGAAGGGTCAATAGATTCTATGAAAAGAAGAGCTTCTATAGAAGATATGGCAGCAGAAAATCAACCAAACTGTAATAACTCTGATCATCTTGATTCTGATCCTAACAAGGGATGGGAGAATGCATTTGTGTCTTTCATTGACAATCTGGGTGAGAAAAAGACTGTCAAATCAGACCCAGGCCATGTCCAAAGTAAGCCTGTTTTCTCCAGACAAGACAGTAGTGGAAGTGAATCCAGCTCCAGATCTGTTGGAAGTAGTCTCAGTAGCCGTGGAAGTCATAAGTCTTTGGATGAGGATAATTCTGGAACAAGGATACTTCCGCTTCAGAGAAGAGAAAATGATGTAAAAAGATTTGAGTATTTTTCTCACATTTCACCTTCACTTAAATCAAGTAAAAAGCGATTGTCCAGTAAAGGCTTATCCGGAATTCAAATTCAGGCACTTCCAGAAATTAAAGCCAAAACTAAAAGCTCCATGAAGCTTGTCCCCACGGTAGACACTACAGAGGCGCCCCAACAGAAAGAAGTTATTGTGAACAAGTGCATTATCTGCTCCAAAACATTTCGGTCTGTTGACAGTTTGAAATGTCATGTACGAAATATCTGTCGTCCCATGGATATAAGTCGCCCGGAAGCAAACCTGAAAGACTTTGAATATGGTACTGTTTATTCATGCCATAAATGTGAGAAAGAAGTCTCAAAAAAGGAGGAAATCAAGGCACATGTTTCTGAGTGCTGTAAAGATGATGATGTCATCCAAGCTCTCAGTTTCAGCACCAAATACATGTGTCAGATGTGTGGTGAATTCTTCGCTAATAAAGATGATGTACACAGTCATGTGTCACGGCTTTGTAGTAAGGTGATGTCATGTCGCCAACAACAGCAGGAGAGATTAGATAGAAAGATAGAACTCACAGCTAAGCCACTATCAGACATAATTGAGAGCTTGAATGGGAATGGACAACAGCATACAGACGATGATAAAAAGAATGAGGTTCAGGAAAAGGAGCATATGAAGGATGAAGAGAAAAAATCTTTAGGTGTTGATGATTTGGAATCAGAAATCTTCAAAGAGACCAAAAATCAACTAGATGTAGATATAAAAGAGGAAGACATATTAAGAACAGAGGGACTTAAACAGGAAGACTCTGTTCGAAGTTTGCCAGCCAAGCAGTGGTCATTGAGAAACAAGACCAAATTCTCATCCAGACTGAAAGGGTTTGAATTTTTCTCTAACAAGCTTAATCCTGCAAGGAGAAGAACAGAACAAAGAAAATGGCATGAGGATTATCATAGTCTAAGGAACAGAGTTGTCAAAAAGGAAGCAGTGAAGCAGATGGTAGAGAGTCAAGAAGGAAGATCCGTAGAGTATGATGGTAAAACATATGCAAAACACAAAAAATTTCCAAAAGTTGCCACAAGAGATGACTCTTTGGTAACAGGAGAACATTCTGAAGATGATGCTGACATCGAAATCGGGGATAAAGAGGAAAGAATCACAAGTACAGAATTATCTCCAAAAATGAATGATTTTAAGGCAGAGGTGAAGGAACACAATGATATAGAAATTCAGAATCACACCTCAGCAAAATTGAAGGGAGCCCAAAGGGACGTTGCTGGTGGTAACACTATGGATCCACCAATGAGGCAGAAACGTGTTATTCAGGTTGGCAAAAAATTCTCACAAGATGAGTTTGAAGTTCCAGAATTCCTCAAAATACAAATGGCAAACAGTAACTTAAAGAGGAAATCACCTCAGCATTGTCCGAAATGTGGACAGTTCTTCTCAAGCAGTTATGTGCTCATCCAACATGTTGTTCGTGTTCACATGTCTCCTTGTAAATCCAAGTGGAACAGCTCAGCTCGCAAGTTTCAATTTGCTTGTTGGTACTGTTCAGATGCATTTCCAACTTACATAAAGTTTTCAAAGCATGTGCCAGTTCATAAGGACAAGATCTTAGCCATGTTGAAGAAGAATTGCTCCACAAGTAGACGGCTGAGGAGAGAAGGTTCAGTAATCAACAACATCTCCACCAGAATCAGTAAAACAAAGACAAGTTTGAAGGGAGAATCTGCACAGTCTTTGCACAAACCTGTTGATCAAAAGGAGCCATCACCAATTAAGGAGACTGAAGTTAAGTCATTATCACAGCATGTTGAAAGTATGCGTACAAGTCGACGAGCAAGAGGACAACCACCTCTGGCTATAGATGTACCCGAATTAAAGGTAGAGACTACAAAGAAAGAAAGAAGTCGATCGAGAGAAAAAGATTCATTATTGGTCAGTGGAATGATATCTCCTAGTGGTTCTTTGTCGCCAGGGACATTAGACATGCGTACAACTAGAAGTCGGAGGCGTGACAATGACTCATTGTCAACATCAAGTTTTGACCATGATGATGATATAGCTAGTAACTGTTCTCATGCCACTGACAAGTCTTCACTGTCAAGAGGAAGGAGAGATTACAACAAAAGGGGTCTCAGTGAAGACCGTGAGTCAATGACAAGTGAAGATTCTGTATGTCATCGTCCAGTTACTCGTCATCAGGTAGCAGCTCACATTTCTCCAACATTACAAGACAGTCCTTGTACAGCCAAGAAACCAAAGTTGGCCAGAGGACAAAATACTGTGTCTGATCAGAGTCGGAGTACAAGAACCAGATCTGGTAATACATTAACCAGAAGAGCAAGTTTAAAAAGCAATAATGTTGATCATGTGATATCAGAGAAGCAAAATGCAAACACTAAACCTAAAGGCAAAGTAACATTACCATCAAGCAAAACTGGTCCCAGTAAAGGTTGTCGAGTCACACGCAATCAATGTAAGTTAGAATCAGATTCAAAAAAGAATTTGAATGACTGTGTGAGCCAGCTTCGACATGCTAGAAAAGAAGGAAGAACTGGTCAAAATGTGCTTGAAAAGGAAACTTCTGTTAAGGGCCTTGATATTTCTTTCAAGGATGGCAATAACCCAGCAAGTAGTGTTACAACTCGCCGATCCAGGAGGCTGAATAATTCGGTAGAAGTTGGAAAGGGAGTTAATACAGCACATGAAAACTGCAGTAAAAGATCAGCAGTTGTGAAATTGAATCGTGTTCCTCTGACAAGACACAAAAGCAATGAACATTATAACAATTGTAATTCTACGCCGGAAAAGAGAGACTTGAGAAAAATCAACACAAAATCTAATCAGGAGAAAGTGGTAGAACCAAAAAAAAGAAAGTTGTCTGCAATTGATCAAATGGATGACAGTTCCAAAAAGTTCGATAAAATAGAAACTGAAGGTGATACGTCATCACATGTAGAGACTTTGGATCAAAAATCTGTCTTGATTGTCAGTGAAGAAGATGAAGAGTTTGTGTATGTAAAATCACCACTATCTAGTCCAGGCATGTCCCCAAGAGGTGGCACACCAGAGGAAAAAGAGAAACAAATTGTCTCAAATTCTGCGACAGTGGACAGTAAAACAGCATTTTTAGAGAGCTTTAAAAAGTACATCCATAAACCTACTCCTCGATGGACAAATCCCTTCCAATATTCAATGAAAAGTAAGGTAGCAAAGTCCAAGTTGAAACAGAAAGTGTGCCTTGCTCAGGCAAGACTTCTTAAGAAAAGAAAAAGAAATAAAATGGGAACGTCAGGATTTTCTTCTGAGGATGAAGCTGATGATGAATTAGATGAGGATGTAAATCATTCAAAAGTGTCCGAAAACAGCAACGAGAAGAAATCATTCTTGGATTCATTTATAGCACACTGTGATCATGGTCCAAGATTGAAAGGGTATTACTCTGAGGACTTACCTGTCATGGTACCAATGGAAGATAGCACCGCAGATTCTACGGGAAGGACATTGCCGAAAGGAAAAAAGGCATTGGATAGTAAAAGGAAAGGTCCAGTGTCCCAGCGTCATCAGGTGAAGAAGGATGTGATCAATAAATCAGAGAAGAACATTGAAAGTAAGATGTCTGAATCAACCAAACTGGACACTGGGAAAAGGTGAGACTAATAGAATCTGCATTGGTTGTGAAGGAGATGGTAGAATCCAGGTCTTGTTATGTCAGCTACTTTTGGTAGTTACTGATCATGAGTTAGTATAATACCAAGTTTTTTGTTGTTTTTTTTTTTTTTTTTTAATATTTAAATTTGAATCTTTCTTGATTTCTGTGTTATTAATTTGTACCATGAGGTCGACACCTAAACAAAATTGACAGGTGTCCAAGCATTTAATAGACATTTCTTTACCAACTCCTCATACGCAACTTGGAACGCTTTTACTTTTTTCTTCCTCCCTATCCAGATTTATTTTAATAATCTTAACAGAAATGCTTTTCAGTAAGTTTTCTGAATCTATGATGATAAACATTGCAGTTTTGATTTTTAATTTGAAATGTACGAAAAATTTCTGAAATGTACAATTTCATTTTTTTCTGATACATAGTGTGTATAATTTTGGGAAGGAGAAAAGTGTAAATCTTACTAGGTATCTTTTGTGGTTTTACATTTATTTTCATCATCGTCTTATTGTAAACATTTCCTGATTTTTAAGTGATTATTTTTTTATCATTGTATTTATTGTTGGCATAGTTATATATATAAATTGATAAATCAACAGAATACCTAATGACTACTGGTTCAATTATCAGTGATAAAGACAGAGATATACCAAAATACAGCAATATTATCTTTCATAAAATTCCTCAGATACTTAGAAAAATTAATTTGTGTTTGTTAATGGTCTTTGATGCCAGTAAAGCAATAAAAAATAGTTCTGATATCTATGAAGATTTTTGAAGCAAAATTGTTGAAGGTCAAAGATATCAATGAAGCTCTAACAGATGTCAGATATTTGATAAAGGACTTGGATATCTATAAATCTCCGTTAAAGGTCAAATAATTGATAAAGGTCATCGGTATTCATGAAGATCTCTCAGATGTCAAAGATTTGATAAAGGTGGTTCATATTTGTAAACTCTCTCAGAGGTCAAAGATTTGATAAAGGTCATAGATATCCATAAACTCTCTCAGAGGTCATTGATTTGATAAAGGTCATAGATATCCATAAACTCTCTCAGAGGTCATTGATTTGATAAAGGTCATAGATATCCATAAACTCTCTCAGAGGTCATTGATTTGATAAAGGTCATAGATATCCATAAACTCTCTCAGAGGTTATTGATTTGATAAAGGTCATAGATATCCATAAACTCTCTCAGAGGTCAAAGATTTGATAAAGGTCATAGATATCCATAAACTCTCTCAGAGGTCAAAGATTTGATAAAGGTCATAGATATCCATAAACTCTCTTAGAGGTCAAAGATTTGATAAAGGTCATAGATATCCATAAACTCTCTTAGAGGTCAAAGATTTGATCAGAGGTCAGAGGTCTGCTTAAGGTCAAAGTTATTCTTAAAACTTCTTATGTTATAAAGCTTTTCCTTTTTATTGTTAATTCATCATTGTAAAAATAGTTCATAAAGATGTTTTGCTGATTTGCATTCACCATATAATCAAATACATAATTATATAAACAGAAAATTTACAAGAATGAACTCCACTGAAGGTACCTGTCAGATTCTATTACTCATTATATTTACTACTGGTGAACTAGATAGTGCTTGAATATACAGTGGAATTAATAATGCATGGCATGATGAAGCGTCTGAGCCTTATGTTACTGCTATGATAATTTACATCAACATCTATACTATGGTAGGGATACTGTACGAAGAGTGATATATTGCTTCATGAATGGAAGATTGACTCTCCTCTTTCTAAACTCAGTTATCCATACTTTCATGTTAATCTACACATATTTATTTTCAGGATAGTTGGGGGATTTAGTGGTAACACAATTGCCTTCCACCTAGGTTATTACCCCTATCAAACTTTAAATGGTATGGATGGTCAAACCTGCCAAACCATATAGGTTTTCCATAGATACACCAGTTTCCTCCAACAGTAAGACAACATTCAATCCAAGTCAACAAGACTGATTGATATGAGCTTACAGCTTGTTTTACAATTGTTGTAAAATAAGAATATCTTTCATACATTGCTTTGAAAAAAATTCTTATCATAGAAAGTTTTTCAAAATTTCATAAAGTTCTGCAGTCACTATACATTTCCAACATGATTCTACATCATGGGTGCTGACTGAAGGTTTCATATGTATGTTCAGTAGACCTATTTTAACTCATAAAAACACATTTGACTGTAGTAGTTTGAAATTAAGTTTAGAAGTTAGAATTTTATCAATCTAACCTCTCAGGAAAGCAAGTTTTGGCAGTATATTTCAAGAGGAGAAAAACACTGATATAGGTAGGTTAAGGCAACTATCCAGATCAAAAATAGAACTAGTATTTTATTAATTTTTCTCAATTTTAAAATTGCCTATCGATTTTATTGTTTATTATGCGAGTGCCACATCAATTCCACTGTATAGCTTTTACAATCTAATTCAAATGCAGATCCCAGTTCTCACTTCCCTTCTCTTCATATATATAGGATCTCACAACATCCCTTAACAGGTCGTGTGCATCCTGTAAGGTGTCATGTTCTGGTAACCTTTGCACTTTTTGGTACTTCAGACAATTTCATCTGCAGCAAGTCATTTTGTCACAATATGTAGACCAATCTGATTAAAAATCAGATCCTTATTCTTGTTCCATTACTCACCGCATTGGAATGAGAAAAGGGATCAGCATTTTAATCCAGGATATGATTAGAATTAGTCGACATATTGTGACAAAATGACACAAATATGATTATGCAATCTATTTCACCCACCTTTATTCACTTTCACAATTCACCAGGACATGACCCCATATTGGAAGTTGAATGATCCTATGCAGAGAGTAACAGAGTGATAATTAGAATCTGTTTTTTAATTAGATTTAATTAAGTAATCAATTTGATTAACAGCTTCTAATGCTTGTAATTTATATGTCATTACTAACTTGTATACATAGATTTAGAATCTTATTTATGATTACGACCCATGGCAAGAAAGGGAGGTATGTGAGAAATATAGAATTTTCTGCTATTATATATGATGTTGTGCTGCAAAGTGCTTTATTTCTGTAGCAAAGAATGAAGTGCCTTATAGTAATCAGTGTTTCCCATTTTTTGTTTTCGTTTTTGTTTCGTTTCTGCATGATGACTTAGGAAGTCATGTTCCATATTCTGTTTTCTGATTATTGTACTATGGTTCACATTTTACACTTCCGTTCAATATGTCTTCATTTCCAGAGATTCACCAATCATAAGCTTAGGGGATATTGATTGGAGGCACAATGGAAGCCTTGAGGACACGTTAGTGTTTAATAGTTTTGAGAACTTGATCTTAACATCTTAAAATATTTAAAGGGTGTACAATTTCATGTATAGATAGAGACAGAGATTTAATGAATAAAATCTATCAACAGCTTCCACCACCTAGACACATCTACTGTAAGTGTTGATATTAAAGAAACAAGAAGCCGAATCCTGATGTTATTTATAGCCACACCTTTTCTTTGAAGCATATCTTGAAAAAAATTGTAAGCTCTGACATAAGATCTACTTACACATGAGTTAAGAGAAATTGTACACCCCTGGTATCAAATATATTTCATTTTTATCTTTAAAAGTGAAGAGCTAGAGACCTTACACTTGCATTTCAAATGCAAATATGAGTAATTCCAAATTAATCAAATGCTTTGTTTCTATAATCTAGTGATTCTGAGTGGATGAAGGAGAAGGTAGACGATAAACTTGTTGAGGTTGAAGACAAGGATACGGATATGGATTGTTCAGAGGAGGTGAAAAGCATCACAGAGATTAAGGAATGTAAATCATCCATTGATCAGGGTAATAAGGTAGACCAAGCAACAGCAAGACCCACATCATTTGAAAGTCTGCAGACCTACATTGATAGCATGTCTAACTCGGCATCACCCACTCCAAGTGTAGATTCCACGACTTCCAAAGACACACTTTCCAAAAAGTCTCTTAAGATTTCTAAATCAATGGCTTCCACTTTTCAGGATAGTTTCATGACTTATCTTGGTTCCAAACCCAAAAAAGGCAGGAAAACTTCGGATGGTTCCTGTTCATCGTCAGAATGTGGGGATGTCAAGTCATGTAATTCATCTGTGTGTGATGGAGACACGGGAGTCGGTCAGAAGTCACGAGTGCAAAAATCTCAATCAAGCAAACCTTTCACTTGGGACGTGGATTCAGGTGATGAACGAATAGATTTGCTGGTGTCTACACTTGGACGTGTGGTGACTGAAACATCAGAAAGTGGTAGCAAAACAGACCTGACTTTTGAAGGACCTTGTGTTGAGGAGATGCAGAGCGAGACCAGCCACAGTGAAAGGTCTTCTGTTGAACGCATTTTACCTCAAAAACACAGCCACTCAAAGGCCAAAGTTCGTAGAATCTACCATGATGGAAAGATTTGGGAAATAGGGCCTGGTTCTGTAAAATCTGTTTCAGTTGTGCAGTCTGATTTAGTGACTACAGAGAGAGTTCCAGGCAGAGATAGCCCAGTAAGTGAAGTGTCTGATTGTGGAGAAAGTACATCATCTATAAACACAAAGTCAGATCCTGTTAACATTTCTAGATCTGAAGTTCCTAAGGGAGATAATCGTACAAGTCCTTTAAAACCAGATCATCACCATCTCTCTAAATCATCTAAAATTGAGCAGAATTCACAATTAAATGTGGAAATGATTCGTGTGGATCGAAAACATGACGGAGAGAAATTTGTTCGTCTGGACAAGTCAGAAATTGATCAATATGACAAGATGAACACATATACTTCAGTCACTCCAGAAGATATGGCCCTGAAGAAAGCAGAAAACATCAAGAAAAGTGCAAAATGGAAAGTCAAAACTGAAAAACGGTCTAAAAGCTCAAATATGAAAGAATTTCCCTTTGTGTTCAAAAAGAACAGAAGGATGTAAGTAGGAACTTAGAACAAAAAGGTCTGTTATAGTTATAATGGTAATTGTAAATCGAAAAATTATCACCAGGCCATCTCCAACAAACTTTGGTTCTTGAACTCACTTGCTGGAATTAAAATGATATTTTGAACACAATATATTGGCATACAATATCATCCCAGTGTAAAATGTACCATTTCTTTCAAGATAAACATGCTTTTATCAACTTTCTGTATATGTAACATTTCAAGGGAGGCTATAGTAGACATTTTTTGTTTGTCAAGAATTGATACCAGATTTTTATGTTGATGTAAATCTGTAAATAAAACTACCTCAGTATATTTGGACTATTTTTATACTATGAAACAGTAGATTTAGAACTATATTGTATCTTAAAAATGTAAGATATTTATGACTCGAGTGCAAAACATTGGTTGATCCATTTGGTTAAAAATTCACAACTAAATTTATGATTTTAAAGCCAAAAGAAAACCAAGCTGATGGAATGAATTGTTTTTCTACAGTAAATATAAGACTTAATTTGTTATAATGTTATTGAGTTCTTTATTGAAGAAGAAAATTCTTTATGGATCAGCTCAAGATTCAGTTCATATTTTCAATTTTGCTTTTCTTCAAACAAGATGATATTTTTGTATTTTAAGAAGTGAGTCCTATTCTGATAAACAATATTGTTTATGCTTGACTGTTTTTCAGATATACTGCAATAACTCTATATTGTACTCACGAGATATTATGTTTTATTTTTGACAATGTAAAGAAATGTTCTGAAAGTAGTTCTTAACTCGAGAGTGACGAAAAAGGAGTTTAAAAAATGGTATTTATGTTCTTAAATTAGTTATGGTAACTCAAGAGTGACAGGATTTGAAAAAATAAAGTAAAGGGTTTCCACTAATTCAAAAATGTTTCTGAAAATGTAGTTTTCTCATAATAGATGTAAATGGGAAATCAGATCCTTGAAAAAAAAACAATAAATCAATATGAAGTTGATTTTTTTTCTCTAAATGTCAAATATTTGATTATATTTTCAACTATGCAGTCAACTGATTTTTTTAATTATCCTGTATACCCAAACAGAAATGACAGGGTACAAATACAAGAAAGATAATGTGTTAAATCAGAGTATAGAAAACAATTGACCCCTCTGAAACAGAGTCTTTATGGATTAGATACAACACAACTGAGCAGTTAACCATCAGTAATATATCTTGAAATTAGCAGAGAATCAACTGCTGTGCAATCATTTCGTGCTCAAATTTGGTTGGTTTTGAAGAATGTACATATTGTTGGCACTTCAATTTTGTGGATAAATCTCAACCACAAAATTCAATAGTATTATAATCCATTTCAACTTTTGTCCGTTACCATTCTGTGAACATTGCGATTTGTGGATTAAATGTACCTACAAATTCAATAAAAAGAAATTCCCTGCAAAAACTATTTTACATTATGCAGTTTAAAGAAATTAACCATAAAATTTGTTTTCATTTTTTCCCATAGTACACGGACAGTTCTTCATACCAAAAGTTAAATGTTATGCAGAATTGTCTTCCTGAAAAACATTCCTTTCAATCATAAATGAGACTTTGATATGTAATGCATTATAGTTGAGGTGGGTTGGGGAAACAACTTAAATACCAGTTACAGTATTTAGAGAAAAAAAAAGACATTGTTTTGGACAGATGTATGAGAAACAAAATAGAGAAACATGTTACTGAAAAGTTCAGTGATGTACTGTCGTCCATCAATAAGCCCAGGTCTTGTAATAACTACTGTCTCCTCACATCAATAACTTTGAGCAGGAATTTCTGTATTGGGGCACCTCTGGGCTTACTGCAGGATAATACAGTGAAACCTATTATTGTCTCCTAACAGATGTACATTGGCTAAGGATTAAACTCGTTCATGTGATTGTCTCATTATATTGAAAGAAAATTGAGAAACTACAATGGTTCTTTTTTTATGATGTACATGTGTGACTGATTTTATAATTGCCATTAAAAAATGTTTATTTAAACTGCCATGGTGCCATCAGTGATCTGCTGATTCTGGTCCGATTTTGGATTTTATTTGTGAGTATGTTTGGAATTCAATCTACTGAATAGATGAACCATACCAAAAAAAAAAAAACAAAATGCTTTTCAGATATTTTTTCAATGTTTGGAGATTTAATTCTAAATACTGATAAACTGTAGCAGGCTTCTCCCAATTTTCTTTTAAATGGTTTCAGGGGATAGGTTTGGTAGGACGGGTTTGTGTATGATTATATTTTGGGTCACTTAAATTTTTATAGTCTGTATGGATTTCCATTGTTATATAAATATAAACTTTATTTATTTTACAACAATTGTGAAACAAAAGTGGGAGATCTTACTGTGGGAGGAAACCTGAGTACCTGTGAAAACCCAGGTGACCCCATACCTTTCCACATCTGTACCGGGAATTAAACTCCAGACAGCTAGGTGAAAAGCGAGTGCATTACCTCTGTGCAACCTGACCACCCAATATAAGTAACTCATCCCTATTTATAACAAATAGTTATAAAAACATCATTGTATACGTATACAAATTTTTGGGTAGTTTTGTATGATCACAGATTGGTTGCTTATTTGACTGTTTTGATATTGAATGCTCTTTCTATTTTAAGATGTATAAATTCAAGAGAAAAGTCGAAACTAATCGGATCACTACTGAAATTGTTTCAGTCTAAGAAAGTTATTTACAAAGAAGTAAAATGGTTTCCTATTTTGTGAAAATTCTCCAATGCAAACGTGTTACCTGGACTGCATGGTATGTTTGAGAAAACATCAAATTCTTGCCAGGTGTGATTATGTTCTAATCCATGTTAGATTATTGAGCCAACAGATAAAAGCGTAATAGAGACAGATTATCATAGTAGAGAATTCATGGTGGATCCTATCTATATCTTTTTTATATCATTTTCACAGAAAGGTTAAAAAGATATTTGGTCGGTATAATTTTGTTTATATAATTTAATATAGTTTGAATGAATGTATTCATTGAAAGCTTTCTGTTTTATGTGATATGGATGTGTTTTGTGAAATCAAAACTATATTTGAATAAAAGTCATTAATGTGAAATTATGCATTTCATATATTCTACTTGATAATCGTCATTGCTTATTATTAAACAATCTGAATTTGTCTGATATCAACAAATGTATATATGTTAAAATGCAAAATGTTCATTGTTACTGGTATGAGTTAGTTTAGTGTCCGCTGCCATAGCCACATATGCCTTTCCCCCAGTATATCTACTGGAACTAGTGTCGTAAAAATGAACTGATAGAGAAGGAATGTGTCATCATTGCATGAATATAACTTTAATATGCATTCCAGTGATCAGAACCTACAATGTTTATTGTAAATATTATAACTACTTCAGTTTACATTTGTTAAAAAATGGCAATTTCATTTTCACATTTTAATGTTTTTGTAAATATTTTGATTATTATGTTCTGTAATTTGTTGGACAAAGCATGTTTTGTATTATTATTTTCAATGGCTTTGTTAATTATATATTATCCTGTAAGTAAGCGTTCATCATTTTTCGATGAATGTACTTTGCTTTTTTATTATGAGAGAAAACATTGTGTATATGCCATATGCCATTTACTTGAAGCTCTTAAGCATTAAAAAGACAAAATGACGCATTATAGTCTATTTTATTTTTACCAGCCGTGTTGATACCAATCTGTTTATACACCTTAGCTTTCATCACTACATAAACTGCCATTTCATTACTTCAGTTGAAGGGAATCACTTACCATATCAAGCAATTGATATATAACTGTATACTTAGATTTTAGCCCACACTCTATTCAAATTACTGGTTCATTCACCGGTACCAAGAATGGAAACCCACATAGAAAGTTTAAACAAAGATCTGATATACTTATGAAATGGAGTCCAAAATAATACCAAGATGGCTGCTTATAAACCAGATCATTTTCAATATGGACGATGCATAACTACATGGACCAAATGTAACCTACATATGAATGCTCTTTCCTATACTTCTACAGAATTTACTAAACAGTTTCTATGACTTGTGGTGTATTGTCCCTTATCACCTGAGCATAAATCTGTTTTTGTAACATGACCATGTATTATCTGTAACACTTCAAAGATAAAATACTAAAGACATAGTAAAAATACAATGTTTTATTTCAGCAAATAATGTACAAGTTGAGATTGGATGAAAAATGTACATCAAATATTTAAATATGTTACTCCACGACACTTTCAGTGTACTATAAATGCCAATACTGGAAACGATTAGCACAGAAGTTGAGGCAATCAAATTAAAGCCCATTTCTTAGACTTTCCATTTTATTATAGAGATCCTCACGTTTAGTGGTGTTAGCTTTTTCTGAATCTATGTAGACTTGCTTATTCATCTTGCCTTGAACAAGCTTTTCAGCAGCATTGATGGCCTGCTGTATCTGGTCCTTGTACTGGCTGTCCAGTTTTTGAAGTTCAGCCACCTGCAATGGATCCAAAATAGTTTACATCCATTAAACTGTGACCTATATTTCAAATATTCATTTGAGGTATAAAGGGAGGTCTAAGACAAAGAAATTGTGATGGACATTATACTATTTTTTAACCATTTTTTCTTTTTACTAAATTACTTTTCAATATTGATATCTATATGACCAGCAACTGTGGAAACTTTTTGCATTTTCTTTTCTTGTCAACTTCATGAATTCTCAAACAAGTAATTGATATGGATCAAAACTGCTATTACATTCATGTTAAATCAATGAAAATTCATTATTTTGTACTTAAGCTTATAAAACCAGAGCCTTTTAACTGAAGAGACATTACACGAATGCATGTTTAAATACCTGGTAATATAAACAGAACATCAGTGTAGAGGTAATAGACATACATCAGCATCAATATGATCTTGATTACTTCATATAGCATCTACACATTCTATTTGTCTACAATAATTTGAAAGTACCTTATCAGCTAGATCTGACCCCTCAGTCTTGAGTTGACCCTGGAGTACTTGTATCTGCTGAGTGAGCTGACGGTAGTCTCCATCTATTTTCTTTCTACTTGTAGAAAAGTTGGCAGCTTCCTTAGTACTCTTGTACTTATTAATAGCATCATCATAGCTCTGATAGAGGGCACTCCGCTTGTCCTGGGCACTCTGCACATCCTCCACCAAGCTAGCCACTCGCATCTTACTCTCCTTGGCTTCATCCTGTTTTTAAAGATGCAAGATTCTTATCAGCAATGTTTTCATTTTCATTATATCACTGATTAGATATTGTTGGCACACAGGAATTTGAAATATCTTATCAAAATCAAACCATGATTGCAATGTTACAGCAGTATCATATGGATAAAAGTTTTAAACAATCACAATACATCGACCTAAACTCAGTTTTCCTGCCATTTACAAAGATGGATGGATTGCATATCAAGATTTAGGTACATGCACTATCATCATCATCCAACTTCTCTCTACTTATTATCCATTTCAGTGATATAATTTGTTAATAGAAATAATAAAATTTCTCAAAGTGGTGAATTAATTTTGATCTTTTTCTATGAAGAGTAAAACAATGTACCTTGGTAATGGAGAAGTCCAATCTTACATAGATGATAACAATGAGGAACAAGAGGTAGAAGGCACCAACAACTAGCAGTGGTTCCTGAAGCAGCATGATCCTCTTGAAGGTGTACCTCAGCTATGTGGAATCAAAGAAAAAAGTTTTTGAATTAACTCAAAAAAAGAAAATGTTCAAGACATAAATGCCCCAGCAGCCACAGCATTGACCTTACACCCCTAAAACACAACAATGCCCAAAGTATACTGATCTTTGCAAAACTTTTGACCAAAATCCATGATAGAATTAAGTTTCAAAGTGTTTAACTGAATCAGTTGATGATTTTCTACATTTTGTAAGGGGGACCTTCCCCTTGACCATTGACCCCTGAAACACAATGAAGTTCAAAGCAGACTCATAGCTGATTGATGCATACAAAGTTTGGCCAAATTCCATGAAAGAATGAAGTAGATAAGAGTTCAAATTCAATTGGTTGAGATTTTCTATAAATAGAAATGTTGAATTTGCCCCTGAAACATTACAATATCCAAAGTTCACTCAAAATTTGTCACTGCATAACGTTTCACCAAATTCCACGGAAGAATGAAGCTGCTAAATGCATACATCGGATCTCATTTCCCAGTTTGAATACCTGCTTATTTATAGGTTTATTTAAGTTCTCAAAAATGCCAGATGACTGCATTGAAACTGAGTACTATGCTGCTTATTTGTTTACACAACATCATCTTGATTACATGTTCCCTACAGACAACAATGACCTAGTTCATTGTATGTTGTGACAAACATTTTGTCTACATAATTGTATCTAAGCACTTCCCTGAAAGTTGTTAACATGAAAACTTTATTGTAAATTATGTTCTGCATTGAGATTATACCTCAAAGTCTTGAATGTGCTGGTCTACCAGGTTACTTTTGTATGCTACAATCACAGGTCGTCCCATAGTGTCAAGGTAAGTGTAATGCAGTTGGTTATCTCCCCTTACAACATCATACGGAGTGCTCAGCATCATGTTCCTGAACAAAATAAGCATCACATCAGAGAACAAATCACATACTTTGTAAAAACAAGAACTAGAAATATAAATACCTATCCAAACCTATCGCATCATTCAAGCTTTGGAAGAAAACATGTCATGTCATTTCAAATTAACCTGTTGTCCAATGAATAAGCCCACCTATTTTTTTTAGCTTACATCACAATTGTAATTTACCCTGGAACATTCTTCATTGTCTGTGCCAGTCAGAAATGAATTCTGAATTCATAATATGAACAAAGATGTTACATAATGAATCGAAAATGGCACAACAAAATGGCTACCCCTGTTTTATTTTGTTCTCTACATCTTTACTTAAAAACCTGTCAAAATGTAAATTTACTAGGTTATGTTTTGAAAAGTATCTTAAAATTATTTTTATGGCATATGAGATTTTATGGACCTTGTCTCAAAGTTTTCATTTTTGCCTGCCAAAATTAAAACTTATAAAGACTTGTTGATCAAATCCCATATGAAATGAAAACTGGTTTAAGAGCCATTATAATAATCCATTTAACTTTGCATGCTGCCAGGATGCTATTTTTTTATCAAAATTTGACCTGGTTTTTTTTAATTTTTGTTTTCAGTGTATGATACTTTCACCCACTTTAAAAGTGGTAGGATATAAACTGAAACATTGAAAGTTTATTGAATTCTCAAATTATTTTAGAGTTTACCCTGATGTTATTTGTTATCTCGGCATTGATGTGCCTCTCAATGCTCTTAGTGTAGTTCTTCTGAGATGTTATCTAATTTGAAGCTGACACTATTGCTTTCTATGGTTACAGTGTAATAATTCTATATGATTACACAAATAACTCTCCATCCTAATGACAGTTACATCTAAATAATACCCTGAATGGTATTGTAATTGTAGGTTGGAATTTTGCAAGGATTTTTTTTAATGACAAAGAAAAATACTTTTGTCATTAAATTAATTAAACTCTTAATTAAATGTTAATAGAATGTTATGGGGCTGTATATAAATTGTTGTTTAATGATATTTTTAGGCGACGTGTGCAAAATATCATCCGAGTGACCTTCAACAGAGGCAGGGCATTATTTTTTAGACTGGGTTGTATCAGTGAATGATGGACCAACAGATCCCCAGTGTCACTTAAATCAGGGCTAACACAAAACACCTGAGATCACTTGTTAACTTTTACTAGGGTTTTAACTACTTACTTTGCACCCTCTGGAAGGATGATTTTAACAGTGATCTGGTCCACCAAGAGATCATCAAAAACATGGTCTACAAATCGCATTTTCAAAGCATACTGGTCACCTGCAAGTATTATCAACTTGTCATAAATGTTTTGTAAATATCAAGTTTCGAGTCATACGGTAATCATTTAAACAAACAAGGAAAAAATCAACTTCTGTTTAAATATTCACAGCAATGGAAAAAATACAGTGGACAGAACAAGAATGATAAATATGACTGAATGTAACCTACCATCATTGTAAAGATACTGGTAGCTAGGTACATTATAACCGATGTAGTAATGTGTTTTCCATCCTCCAAACAAAGGAAAGCGGGGTCTTAGTTCAAGCTCTACCATGTCATCAAGCTCCTTTAGGTTGCTGGTTGAGATGTTGCCAATTTCATCCCTGTAGTACACATCTTTGGCAGAAGCTGGCAAAACAGTCTGAAAATTTATTAAATAATAAAAAATCAATTATTTGCCATAATTGTAATTCAACACTGCTACACCAATGGAAAAAGGAAAACTACTGGAAAAAAATCTATGCTTCACTGTCCATATGTGTCATTTAAAATACAAAACAAAAAGAATCTTATGACAAAAGCTCCTTGGAAAGTGTAGCCAGGTGTCTGCTGAAGCAAACATCAACAACCTGTTTGATAAGAACAATGTGATGAAGAAGTACCTCTGAAAGAGACAGAGCATTGTATTTATTCTGCATTATGACTAACAGACATTGGTATACCTTGAAGGCTTTCACAGAGGAAACACCATCCTGACTTCTTTGGTAATCATAGCGAGAGAAAGGTCCCTTAAGTTTGGCCCCAGAATGACGCAGATCAATGTGCTCCTCCACAGCAATATTACCCCAGTGAGATACCTCAATGATACGCTCCATGCTTGTGACAGCGAGGAAAGGTGCACTGCTTTCAAAGTGTACTTTCAGCTCAGCCTAAAAAAGAATTAAGAAAATACAAGATTTATTTTTTCCCAAATACCTTCAGAAATATTACATTCTTTGTATGGATGTCATTAACACGGATTTGTTGGAGTTAAGATTTGTTTGCTCACATTCTTCAGAAGTGAACCTTTTGAAGTATTTTAATGCAATAAGATATATATTGCCTCTGAAAAATGCACTTCCCTAGCAAGTTTTTAGATTCTGCCAATACCCTAATTGTGCTGGAATTAGGATTTTTTTCCCCCATTTAGCAACGATTGTAAAATCAATTTTTTAAAGGTGATCAAAAATGACAGAATAATCCAGATAATGTTTTGCATCATTAGAACAAAATACCAGTATTTTGATATGACAATCATTTCATGGCAAGCAGGCAAAACAATTTAGATCATATATCAATACCTGTGTAAAAGGTTCACGCTTTTCATAAGGTCCATATGTGATGGTTTTGTCACTTTCCGAGACAGGCTTTGGTGATTTGCTGTAGGATTCTATGGCAGTGGTTGACACAGTCACAACAGTTGTCTGGCTCTTGGTGACATAGGGTGAATAAAAGTAAACATTTCCTTCCAGTATCACCTGCTGTTTTTCACTCTGGGTAATTTCTAAGGGGTATGGACGCAGCGCATGAGCAAACACTGTCTCAACATCTACCTTCACCATCTTCCCCACTCCTAGGTCAGCACGTAGATTTATTCTCCAGAACTGTTTTCCACTAAATAAAACAAACTCTTTAAAAAACAAAAAATTCACAGAAAACTTTCCCATACTTCCCATATAATTTTCAACACAACAAATGATGGCATCATTAACATGTAACGATATTTCCAATATTCTTTACCCATCCTAAAGCCAGTATTCATGAAGTCATCTCTTTTGTACTAGGTATACATTGCTGTTTCAGTATTGTTAAAAAAGCATTTCAGCACTAAATATTTGCATGAAAGAAGCCAAACTTGATTTAGCCAAATAAAACAGGTGGTTTACTTACTTGTGACCTGCAACCGATGTTTGTGCAACCACTAATTTTTCATCATCATCTGACAACTGAAATAAAGAAAAAAAAAGTAATCAACATAAAATGCTTATTATTGTAACAACCTCCTTGTTTTATAATTCATATCTTTAAACCATTAATTGTTATCAAAAAGCATTGTTTCATTAAATATCATTTATCAAAATGATATTCATATTTTCTCTTTTAGAATTAAGTATACTTAATGGTTGTTAAAGGTGCCATTGTGATTTTTCTAACTTTCATTTTCTAAAGATGATCTTCCAATTTGCAATTGTATCAGAGTGAATAGGATTTTCATCCTTTTCACAGAATTGGATGCAATGAGTTGATTTCCAAAATATATATACCATCTTAAGTCCAAGGTTTTAAAGCACTTTGATATAACCTTTATTGTTATATAGCGATTGGAATCAATTCCAGTTCTATAATCAATAAATGAATACACATAATATGTCAATTATAATCAGTTCCAAGTGTTAACTACAAAATAGTTTTTGTTGCTCTTTTCTTGCATTGTTTTTTTTTAAATATTCATTAGAGGTTTTGAATCTGTGTTATAATGATGTTTTCATTTTCTATTAAAGGTACCAAATGGTGAAAGCCTTCTATGGCTGGTTGTAATCTACCTGTAAATGAGAAACTTAAGAATTAATGATCAAATAAACTTGATTTTAACATTAAACTTCTTTTGTCACCAGTTAGCCTTCGTGAGGACTATTCAACATTTTAGATCTGATTTTACACATATAATGAAATGAATCTATGACTCAAATGACCCATTTCATTTGCACCAAATCAAAAAAAGGTGAATAGTGTTGTTTCCAGTCTTGTGTTAACAAAAGTATAGCAACTGAATACATCATATTACAATTTTCGATTTATTGACGTCTATACCGTTAATTCTTTTTCAGATATAAAACCTGTTCCATCATTATATGATAATTACAATACGTTTATTTATAATTAAATCTTTCAAAAAAAAAATCATCAATTTTACATGAGGTGCACAGATTAGGATCTGTTGCAGGTATCCTCAGTATAACTTGTCTGGTACCTCATTTTTGGCTTTCAAATGAGATCTCCAGATTTCCCAACGTAAAAATTCTGGCAGTTAATGAGTGATCATGATTGACGTCAAATTGACCAAATGACAGAACATCAAAAAAGATAAAAACAAAACAAATTTAGCTTATATAAAAACACAAAACAGGTTTTTAGTTCGTCAACGCAGTAGTATATAAATATTCAGAGGAAATTGCAAAACTTAAACGGAAAACGAAAGCTTCGGACTTAATGCTTTAAGACGTGTCGATCCATGATTGGCTGAAGTGTCATGCAGACGATATATGCAATTAATGCTGAAAGTTACATTGCACTAAAATTAAACATACCGTTGCTCCGAAGAACGATAAATGGTCCTTAAGAGAGTCATCAATGACGTATAAAAATGATTTTACAGCAGAATTTCCGTTATTTTCAACTGTGAGTGACGCCGAAACTTTTACAAGATGAGTCGCTGCATCTATCTTACGATCGACTTTACTCACGACCAAACCAGAGTCAATGGAATCTTGTCCAGCTTTGCACCATACAGATGCAAATGCAGAGACAATAAATAAACACAAAACGATCTTATCCATCGCGGAATAAGCTCGATGACCACAGATTTTTTCTCTAATAGCTACACCGGCTCCTTCGTCTTCGCCGGTAAACCGGAAGTCGTTGGCAAACGTGAAAGACAAAAATAACCACCAAAGAACTTGTTCCGAGAAATGATTTATGTTAAACTGGCAATGATTGTATATACGACAAAATATTAATATTGTCATTAAATGATAAAATTATGCTAACTGAACTTGGTTTTAAACAACCGGAATTTGCATCCTGACACAAATTTATAAAAACAATATTACGTAGGTCAATATTTTGGCATGTCACAAAGTTTAATAAAGCTAGCAATTTATTTACGATGTTTTGGTTTTCTTCTTTTGTATTTACATGACGTTTTACGTAAGAGATGTTATATAATTTGCAATAAGTTATTACTTCTGCAGTATGAAGTGATAGTTTAGGGTAAAAAACGATATATTTTGTCGAAACAAATTTTAATTAATTTTCCCGCCAAATGTCCATTTTCAAAATGGCGGGAGTAGGAGATCACAACCGGTCGTTAAAAGAAGCTCTCATTGAAAGTCTAAACTCAATTCTGTCTCCATTACAGAATGTACGGGCTTCTGGTGAAGAACAAATCAAAGCTCTCGAGGTTACTGAAGGTAACAAATACTGTAGGGGTTTAATTACTCTCTTTTACCATGTTGCACGTGGTTGCGCTGTTGGCCATCTCGCCGATTGGGACATCGGTGAAATTACTTCAGCAGTATCGTATTTTATTGTGTTAGAAATTATAACATCTTAAGGTTGTTAAATCATATATATTAAATCAATCTATACCTGAAATGGAACTGTTATTTTGTATTTCACTTCAAACCCACACGTAAGTCGTATTGTGAATTTATGTGTGCAGAAGACATGATCTCATCCTCATCATTTCCATTAGATTTGTTTGGAAGTAGGTTCTGTCTGGAACGTATTCGTCCTCTGTACGTTTTCAACTTAGTAAAATAACAAGCTTCATAGTTATGTCTACCTTAGCTAATACCATTATCGATTTACTTTGTAAGACCCACTTGACACCTCCCTGAATATGTGCTGTGAAAATAAATCATAGAAGTTGATTGAACAAGTAACCATACTAGCCATTGCTAGTGGGGATTTCCCTGTAATGGAAAGGTAGAGAGACTGGCTAACATGGAAGGGTTGCTAGTTCGAAGCCAACTGGGGCAAGGATTCATTACCAATTACAGATTGAACACTCCAAGGATACAAACTTTAAGACTGAGATGCTTCTTTGGAGATATTGAACTGGAGTTGGTTGTCTCTGGTGTTGAAGAGTTTGTGAAGGAGGGAGTAGTATAGAAGTTTAGCGTACAGATCACCTTATATTAATAACCATGGCTAATGGGAATTGCTCTGTAATCGAGCGATAGACTTGTCTGGCTAGAGACGGATCACTAGTTCAAACCGTGGTTGCATGGTTTTTGTTATTCCTTCTAATTACGCTTATAAGAGATAATCAGTCTAAACAGTCTTTCCCTTCCCTCTTTTGATTAGGATTTTCTATTGATTATATATTTCCTTTCAGAGTTTGGTGTACATTTGGCTCAGCTTACAGTTGATCCTCAGGGTCCCCTTGCCATCAGACAGCTGGCGTCTGTGTTACTGAAGCAGTATGTGGAAGCCCATTGGTCCCAGCACTCTGAAAAGTTTCGTACGCCAGAAACTCCTGAAAATGTAATTGGTTTGGTTTTCCTAATGAAGTAAATACACAGTAATTCCCATTTTTTTTAAACTCCGGAGCATGTGGCATTGTTTCCTAAGTAACCCATGATCAAATGCCCCTGGGCTATGTTCCACAATAGTAAATGCTGACAAAGTTTATCAGGCTTTTTCTGGGTGAATTTGGAAAAGACCACAGAGTGAAAATTGGTATCGGCAAAATATTTCTACCATCAGGAAACAACATATTGACTTATTTTTTTTTATTCTTTTATTGAATTATAAAGACAGGATTCTGATTTTTTTTTTTTTTTGTACTCATAGACCAAATCTTAAAGGTTCTGAATGATCCTCAGCACAAATCAGCATCAGGGATGAAAAAATAACCTTAACAGCCATTTCATCAATCTCCTGTGCCCTGCCATATGTCAATTACATGCTTTGCAAAGCGCACTTTTAAAAAAAAAAACTACTTTCAAGCACTTCAGGAACTACACCCAATAAATATTTATTTGTTTTGCTCTTGTGTTACTCTTTACTTGCTGACCATATTGTAGAAGTAATTTTAGTGAATTTTACCATGATATTGTAAAATTTCAATCACTATACACAAATCAACAATTTAATATTCAATAACAATATACATTGTTCAAGGCAAAACAACAGATTCGTCAGATGTTGCCAATGGGGTTAAAGGAGACAATTAGCAAGGTTCGTACCAGTGTAGCTTATGCTATATCAGCTATTGCACATTGGGACTGGCCTGAGGCATGGCCACAACTCTTTCAAATCCTGATGGAAGCACTGACTAGTGGTGACCTTAACACAGTCCACGGAGCGATGAGGGTGTTGACAGGTAAATATAAAGGAAATTATTAATTACTCTTTCAGTCACTGAAAATTTCACTTTTTCACATTATTTGACCTAATAAAGCATCAGGCAATTAATGAAGCCTTTTGGTTAAAATGAAATTGTAGATTAGAATTCTTTGATGGTAGGTTTAGTGCATTTTAATGAAACAAAGACATTCGATATGGCTGTCATTTAGAAATATTGGGAAAAATTCAGAAAAAATGGGCATATTTTGTATGCAACTATCCATTATGTCTGAATACAAATAAATTCAATTTGTTGTGATTGTAGAATTTACACAAGATGTGACTGACACACAGATGGGACAAGTAGCACCAGTCATTCTTCCAGAGATGTACAAAATCTTTCTGCAAGCTGAGGTAATGTTTCATTTGCCCAAACTTCACTGCAACCATTTCAGAAATAAAGGTATAAAAGTTTTAACTTTACAGTGTTGTGCTTCAGTTATCAAAATGATATATTTTCAGTATTCAAATCAGAGTTTTTGGTTCTCTTCTAGGCATTTGGAATACGAACAAGAGCACGGGCTGTCAACATTTTTAATGTGTGTGCTGCCATGATTGCTACGATGGCAGAAGTACATAAGGTGAGGTTACTTTGAGTACTATAGCAGTAAGCACTAATCACTTTACAAAATATTATTGAACAAGGGATCAACTTAATCAATATTGACATCGATGGAGGCTTGTGTACCCAGAGAAAATAGGACTTTCACTTCCAATCAAGAAATCAAACAGGATATGAGTACACCAGGTACTGACGTTTTTTTTTTACAAGTACCTGCCCATCACGTGTTTGTGACTGGAGTAGATCATCTTGAACTGTCATCTGTAATCGTATACAGAATGATTTAAAAATGAAATAAGAATAACTGTCTGGTGGATTTAATCATACCTTTCAACGTAACAGTTACAACTTTCTTCCATTATCAGTTAGTGGTATATCAAACACCAACAGTGGTGGTCATTGTATCACGAGAAAGGGTGTGGCTTATCAATGGATCAAATTGAAAAAATCACTAAAAACTGACCCTGCTTATATACGGATGCAGCTTATAACCCAGTAATTACGGTAGTTAAAACATGGTTATATCACCATCGGCCACCCATGATCAGAAAACTGAAAACCAGCAACAGTATTTTGATGTATATACTACTACTGATGATTCTACTGTCAATAATTTAAACTTTTGTTTACTTGACTAGGGATGTGCTAAGCAGATGCTGTTTCCCATTGTACCTCAGTTTACAGAGGCATTGATTCAGGCTCTACAGGTACCTGATGGTCTGACGTCAGACAGTGGACTCAAAATGGAGATCCTTAAGGTACTTTGCTAACTTTCTGTCCTCAAGTTTATACTTTGAAGTCTATGGTCTAAAGTCCTAACATTTATTGAAGTAAAGGGAAACAAAAACCTGTGGAATGGGGTTGTGTTAGACATGATCTTTTAAAGTTTATTTTGTCCGGTTGACGGTGTAAGTGCTAGACTCCTTTTTTTTTTCTTTTTGAAATATCAATGTGAATAAAATAGCAAAATTAGATAGTACATTTGATTTTAGAACAATTTTGAAGGACAAGTGTGTAAGATTTGTTTAATTGCTTTTATATCACCTATCAGTTCTGATGAGTGATATTAAGCTAAAAAAAAAAAGAGAACTTGTTATTTCAAAACAAACATCTATATGATATACAAGGGTGAACAAACAAGAATGACTGACAAAGACTTTCAAACTGTAGCAAACTTGCATATGCTTGCAAAATGAGTAATATAGGCTCATTCTGGAGTGAAGGAGTTTTAAAAAGAAAAGACAGATTTTGTACGTATGTAGATAGAGACCTCAGACATACTGTAGGGACAACCACCTTTTAAACAAGCATTATTTACCACCCTTACTAACAACATTTTAGAAATTAATATTTATAATGTAATGCCCTTGGTACTGTTATTTTTCGTAATATTGAATCTTCAAAGATTGAACCTTTGACTTCTGGCTTACTAATCTTAATCAAATAAAGCTCAAAAGCTAGTTACATGTTTTGTTACAGGTAATAACAACACTTGTGAAAAGCTTTCCAAAACTGATGTCCCAGTGGCTGGCACAGATTCTCCCTCCGATCTGGTCCATATTCACACAAAGTGCAGACTTGTATCCTTGTGGTTTATTATTTCAAGTAGCTTACCAAGAAATGATTGCAGAGTTATTGGGGTCATTTTCCAGAAGTTGTAGGTGCCCTATATTGTTCATTATTTACATACTTATATCTCACAGAATTCTTTCTAAAATTCTAAAATACAGTTCTAAAATAGATATTTATTTACTGTTTGATAGGGTTCTATAGATCAAGGTCTACGTTTCAAAACAATGGTTATAAGATGGATAGGTACACAGCACCCCTTAATTTTCTCTGGTAAATAAATATTTCACAGCCAATGAAACCCATGGTAATATTTCATTTGGCCCCACTTTGTTCGAAGCAGTTTGCTTGACTACTTATTGAAAAAACCTTTCATTTCCAATGTGTAACTTTTGAGTTTTATTCCTCAGGTAAATGTTATGAAAATTCTACAGTTCATACTTAACCAGGGATATTTTGAATTTCATACAAAATCCATTTGCTCTTGGTATATAGGACTGGTGAAATTATACACCCATCGTGTGATCTGATATGTTAGATAATCTTGTATTGCAACAACATGTTAAGTGTGTAAGGCTTTTAGGAACAAACCTGACCATGTTGTATCTGAGTTTTTAAAACTACCTGCTAATCGTTGGGTTTGTTTCTTAACTTTTATGAAGTTATGTAAGGACAGTAGTCAACAACATCGACGATGCAAATGACCCAGTGGATTCAGATGGTAAGTAGAATTTTAATCTAAAAATGAGGCAAAACATTCTAACCTTTATTTGCCATTGTAAATCTGTCTGCAAGGAAGTAGATAATATCTGGTATTGATTTCATTGTTAAAGCAATTATGTTAAGTTAAATGAAAAATTGACATGAAAGAAGAGTTTACAGTTATGATTGCAAAAATTATTTCAGCATATATCTGGTGATTTAATATTGTAATTATGACTTTAGATGATGTTTTGACTGGTGAGTATATTTTGGTCTGTGTATATAGGTCTGATAAAATTTTCATAAGTTTTGTTTATGTTGATTAATTAAAGAAAAGGGACTCTAAACACGAAGTATCAAAGGTAGTCTTACAAAGGACTGAGGCAAAATAAGCGACCTCAAACTGAAGGCATTGTCTAGTGAAATCCCCAAACAAAAGGTTTTGCAAAATTTGTGATAAAAGAACAACTTCAGAGAACTGAAAAGACTCCACTTCTTAACTTTGACTTAAAGTCCCTTCACATTGAAATTAATGTTGGTTCCGTTTTTTTGATATTGAAAATGTTGGAGTGCAATGATAAAGCTGTCAAGATGTGATTTAACCATTCTGGTACATACGGATGGTGTTATTATAGTATGAAACCTTAATCTCCCACTTTCATATTTTTCTTGAAAATTCAACTTTAGAAAATATTATGATTAATTACCAGGAAGATCCATTGAAGTTCAATATTTCGTTTCCATCATCAATTAAAATTAAAATATTATCATGATGTGACATGCCTATGGTGTTTTAAATATGGTAACCTTAACGGATGTCCATAAATTCTGATGAGATGTTACTGAAAAAATCTTGGATGTTATTTAACACTCTATGATATAAATAATTCTAGATACTGATTAGTTAAACCAAGTATGATTTATTTAGAAACTTGTCAAAGTGTAGAATATCTTTTTATGCTAAGAGCATTTTCAATGCTCTTCAGCATGTTGCTGTCGCCCCTGGCCCCGAGTATCAGTACTTCGTTTTCATTGGTTCATAAATCGAAAGTTTACTCCTACTCCATCTGCCGGACATTACCGTAATCATTGGATTATCGCCCCTAGAAGTTGCTGATGCTAGTCATTAAATGAAACAACCTTATCGACATTTTCTTCATTACTTGTACATCAAGAAAACGTTTTGTGTTGTGTATTAATGATAATCAGACATCGAAATTTGTAAATACAATGACAAAGACTCACGTTTTATGGTGGTAAATTTTGCGAGGCAATGCCAATATGGCGGCTTAACTTTCTTTGCCGCGCGATGCATTGTGGGTGTCATATATCTTTCTTTTTTTTCTTTTTCGAAAATTTTCATCCCGTTTAATACTGTTGAAAACTTTTGAAAATACTGAAATATGTAGTTGAAAATAAGAATGAAACTAAAATAAGAATGATTTAGAGTAGCATAAAATTTTGACGGAAACAGCCGGGGTGCTCTTTGCTGCTGGACCCTGAAAGAAGACGGCGGCAGAAAGAAGATGGCGGGTATTTTATGTAGGTAAGTATCACTTTATATATATAAGCTGAATCTTAAGTCAATACTTATACTGAACTAGCAATTGCATTTTTTGCAAAAATTCATTTGAAATGAGCTATCGCATGTATTGAATTTAGGCTCGACGGTGACGCGCAAGCTGGGCACTGCCGCCATGGCACTTTTTTCAAAATATTTTCAAGACTTTTCCTTTGAAGCAGTATGCATTTGAAAAATGTTATGTAAGCATCTAGCACATTTTTGTTGCTTCCGTAAAGTATTTCAGTGTTTTGAAATGAATTTATTTTTGAATGATCGTTTCATAATGGTCTCATCGCAGTCACTTCTGTCAGTGGCCCAACAGATAGGAAATTAAACAGAAAAAATCTTATCCGTAATATTGTACCAGGGACGTATATATGTTAATATACAGGTCCCTGATTTTACTGTACTACTTACGCTACCGTGAATAGATCTAGGAATCTTTCTATGTAATATATCGATTTTACTTTAAAATATCGGTCACTGTCCGTGCTATTGTAGATCTAGCTCTTTCAAATTTCTGATCGGAGATAATTTAGAAGTACCTCAAGGCCAGGGTATGAAATTGTACGGGAACTCTACAGCTATGCTAATTGTAAGGTTTACAAGTGAAGTTATAGTTTTAGTTTTAATTTAGTTTTTGTCTTTCTGACATGATGTCTAGTTGATTCTGTTGAAGAGTGATGCAGGTGAACGATTGCAATATAAAGATTGGGAATAATGAAGATGTCGATTGACATCTGAATCCCGGAAAGTGTTTTAATAAAGATTAGGAAAAACCTAGCAAAGTGTTAGGTCCCAGTGTGAATATGTAAAGTGTTAGGTCCCAGTGTGAATGTGTAAAGTGTAATTGGTACAATTCTTATTGTGCCTGAACTTTTGATATATGTACTGTATTTGTTTATCTCAGAAATTTCAGTATTATGTCAACTGCTTCCACTTTCAGTTCAACACTTGATTCATCAATTTTACACAGCCCTATGCTCAATATTTGTCATTAATTGTTGACTGTTTTTAAGTGTTTTAGAGTTTTGTTTCCATGGTGAATGGAATGAAATGGGATAAATAGTCAAACAAATACCCCTCGAGAGCTTATTAAGACATTGCAGTATTATCACTTTGGGCCTTATTAAAAGTCAAATTGAAACTTTAAGAAACTCAAGTGACCGTAAGTACAACAATAAGATGTCGATAATCAATGAAATTGATTAATTGAGAGGACATTTTCTTAGTACAGTTAACCAGGCTTTGTAGTGGTTTGTTCAGAACTGTAGTTCTGGTTAAGTAACCATTAATTATGTCCTTTCAGCTACAATGACATACATTTTTGAAATACCTCTACTGTAGCTAAATGTGGCATTTGTAATAGACATAGCCAAAGTTAATTTTGTGATAGACATAGCCAAAGTTAATTTTAGGATCAGTTAGGACAGCTACTGTTTGTAACAGGCATGGGTTCAATTACATGATGATGTAATTAATTAAATTACAATTACATTATGAAAATGGCATTGCCATTACAGGTATTTTCAAAATAATTAAATAACCATTACATGACGGTCCAATGTAATTAATTAAATTACACATTACTTTTCAAGTCAAAATGATTTTTGAAATACAAAGGTCAAAATTAATTATCATACTGCACAGATTTATCACACAAATTTAATTTTATGATTCAATCTCTGTATGACCATGGTCAAGATATTATCATTTTGCTAGCTGTCCATCGCTTAATAATTTGACAGTATATTTAATATAGACTCCTATTGGGAAGACTGTAAGCTTATACAGAAGTGTATATTTCTTGCACATAATCATAGCAATAATGAAATATAGTTATTTATTTCCCTTACTCTCTTTCAGCAAGTGGATGTCCCTGAAGAAATGAAATCTGGAATGGTAGAAGGTATCTCTATTGATTCTTTTAAGTTGGAATTGGCTATGGTGACCAACAATGGATTTGAGGACCTTATGGTGGAGAAAAACGTCCTTCTTTCCGGCCTCCAATTAGATGTTGAAGATGATTAATCACTTGAGGAGATGCTAACAACCATGTTGCCTTTTAATGTCACAGTACTTTCTAAAGGCGGCAGTATATTTACCATCACAAAAGAAGAATCAACAAATCGTGGAAAAGATCATTGTATACTGCATTTGTAGTAAATTTGTATACAATCTTCAATTTACTTGAGTAGAAAGATTCACTAGTTATACCAAGTTTGTGTAGAAAGGATCACTGTATACTGAGTTTGTAGTGTACATAGAAAGGTTTACTTATTTATTTTTTTTCTGAAGTTAAGTGTATACAATATATATAAAAAAAACTTTTTGTAGAAAAGATCACCGCATACTGAGTTTGTTGTTTACAAATGTGTAGAAAAGATCGCTGTATACCGAGTTTATAGTTTACAATTGTCTAGAAAAATCACTGTATACTGAACATAATATGACTTCTGTTTAAAACCTTCATTTAAACTTAGGCATGTATTTTTTTATGTGTCTTAAAAGTCTACCTACAACAATTTTGTGTATGCAATCTTGTACTAGGATATTGACATGACAAGATTACATTGCTGATCAAAGCATGGAAAGAATACTGAATAAAGAAAACAAGATATAAGCATCTGTATCATGTTTTTATTATATTATTATTATTATTATTATTATTATTTTTCCATAATGTCTGTCCACATGGAATTTGTAAGCACTCTTGTGCATTCTTATACCACCAAAAGGGTGGGTAAACTGGAATCAGGTTGTCTATCAGTCCATCCATCTGTTTGTCTGTCTGTAGACACATCTTGTCTGGACAACTCCAATGAAACTTTTCAGTAATATTCAGGACAATGTGTAGATGTGCATGCACCATTTTCCCTCGAAATATTGATTGCCATGGCAACTGGTCAATATAGACAGGTTTTGCTTGTCAGTCAACTTCTAAACCTGTGGACCAATTTCAACAAAACTTTGCATGATTGTTAGGGAACGTGCACATGCCGCTGTGTTTCAGAGGATGTTTCTGTGCAAAAGGTCACCATGGGGAGATAGCTAAGGCTGTGGGTGTTGGGGGGGTATTAGTTATCATTTGGGTTACAGTTTCAGTTATCCCTGGGCAATGTGGAGAGGATATAGTAACGATTTTGAGGATTGAATGTAGAGGTCACAGTACTTGCATAAGTACTATATGATTACCTTGTAAACGCATTGAGACTAAGACAGTATACCTTAATCAAATTTGGAACATGTATCCCTTATGAGGAGAAGTCGGTTTCTTTAGAAATTCAGGGTCAGATGTCAAAGATCAAGGTCACAGTCAAAAAACGGATAGATGCATGGGGGTGTTCTTTGCATTACCCTCATTTTTCTATCAAATTTCACAACCTAAAAGATATTCACATCTTGCAAATTTCAAGGTCACTGTAAGGATGTTAAAAAATGATAATACAAGAGGAATAAAATATCTTGCGACAAGTTTTAGAGAACAAAGAATATATAAACATGTCAACAGAATTGTAGAACCAGCAAAACAAGTGTAAAATTGAAACAAAGACAATATCTAATCAAGATTCACTGAAAAAGTACAAGGAGAATAAGACCAGGTGTTGCGGAAGAATAGGCATCTTCTATTTTAAGTTATGTTGACATATCATTTGTTTTAGAAAATTGGCACTCTTATGCAGTCATTTACAAACAATCTGGAAAATGAAGCTGCCCAGTATTTGTATGTAGCATGTTACTTGCATGATGGTCTAACTAATGGTCTTAAACCAATAAGATACACAGTCTTTAAAGTGATAATATGGTGTCCAAGATCAACATTTCCTACAATGTATCCAAAGAAATGGACAACTTCCCTATCATTGCATCTTTGAGCCTACTTGGGACATGTATTGCATAAGTAATACTACTATGCTTGTTATTTCTGATATCTGCTGGTCATTTTTTATGGGCTGCAATGATTTACTGCTTGCATATAGTTGGTTTCAGTATATAGCAAGCTAATAACAAAGAACTTATTTTTTCAATGGTCTTAGCATACCAGTACTTTCAGTACTTTGATTCAAAGTAAGAAAGCAGTAGAAAGCTGTAACAGTTATATGCTATATTTGTTACGAAATTTCACTCTTATGGAAACATACTTTTTTTGATACAGTTGTACTGTCAAACTGGATTTGGATTTCTATCTTATTTTAAGTGCGTGTATCTTGATTGTTTTACAGGTGAAGTGCTGGGTTTTGAGAACTTGGTGTACAGCGTATTTGAGTTTGTACATGTGTTGATTGAAGTTCCCCAGTTTAGAAAAACCACTGTGAAGAAATCTGTTGATGACATCATCTACTATGTGATTTTCTATATGCAAATGACTGAAGACCAGGTAAACAGAATGCGTGAAGCTACTTTATCACAAATGAAAGCTTTGAGTAATAACACCAAAATCTTTGGAGTTTTATTGTATGAAACGGACGCATCCAATATGATTCTTTAGTATGTTCAAGATTGCCATTTCACATTCAATATTACATAATAAAGGGTCTGTAGTGCAAACTTCACAAATAGAATGTCAAGGAATCTCCATATTAAGTTAGCAGTACTATTTAAACAAAGGAAAGGGGTGGCATATTTGGACAGGAATTCTTTTGGATCTTAGAGCTGTGGTTTGATGATATAAAATATTAAGATATTTTCCTGGCTATTTTAGGTACAATTATGGACAAATAACCCAGACCAGTTTGTTGAAGATGAAGATGATGATTCATTTTCTTATTCTGTGAGGATATCTGCACAGGATTTGTTGCTGGTGAGTATGTGTATCAATGGTTTTGGGTATCATGAAAATGTACGATGATTTTCATTTTAACTTTATGACTTTTTAATGTTAATTACTGTTGTGTAGTAGTTTCAGGGCTCTCGATCTGCCAGATTTGGGGCCGAATCGGCCCATTCCCAATACAAAATAGTATCTTTTTTTCCCAAGTTTTTCCAATTCTAAGGAAAACGCTGCTATTTTCCCCAATTCTAAGGGCCCCAGTTCCAAAATGGGGTGTGAGAGCCCTGAGTTTAAGATCACTCAAATTTTAGTCACCCTTTATCAGGATTTTCAAGGTCAGAAGTTGAGGTTGGTATCAAAAAAAGGTCAATGTATCAGAAGATATCACACATATATAGACATAAATCTAATTAGATCAACATAAATTTCCTGATGTATTTAAGCATACTTAACCAAATTTGTTTCTTTGGATTCTGATCCTGTCATTTGATGTTTCAGTCCTTGTCAAGTGAATTCCGTACAATAAGTGCCCCTGCTCTGTGTAATGCCATCACAAGACATCTACAGAATGCTGAGGTTATCAAAAACTCCGGAAATGAAAACTGGTTTGTATCATTTCTGGAAAAAAAAAAAAAATACCAAACAAGGATCAATGAATTGTTGGGAACAAAAATAATAGTGACATTTATGTTATATTCAAAAGTATGGCATCTGCAGAGATATACTTTTTGGTTACAAGAAAAGTCCCTTCCTTCCTAATCGTTTTATTCTTATAAGGTTTTTTTGTCAAAAATATATGTATAAGAATATTTATTGAAATTATAATGATCTTGTTTCAAGTAGACTGGCACTACATACATGTTGATCTAAGTGAAAATAATCCTTGATTAGTTTGAGATGTGTAACAAGGAGTATATTATAACATCATTTGTCTACTTCTGGACCTCCTCTGGCATTTTGATAAAATTTGGCATCCCCTCATTGGGAGGAAGGGAGGGAAACATTCTTTTAGAACTGGTTCTTCTAATAATTTCATGTTGAGACAATAACTTTTAAAATGTTACAGATATCTGAATGAAAATTGCTGTACATCTTCATTAACTAAAGCTAATTTGCAGTGCATTGACCTTGACCTTAAGGCCAAAGATCAAATAAGTGCATATTTTCCCAATTATTTCTTGTATAGATGGTTTTTTTTAAATTGTTAAAAATATCCTAATGAAAGGTATGTTACACCTTTATCAGCCATGGATAAAGTGCAGTGCATTGTTATTGGATCACAGCACCCTTGACCTCAAAGTCAAAGGTCAAACTTTATTAAGGGTAACACAATGTCAAATAGATAAGAACAGTACAATTTCTTCGTTTTTATCCTTACATACTCAAACTACTACAAAAGAAGCAAATATACATATTTGCTACATGTTATGAAGGAAGATATATGTTTTTGTTCTCTAAAACAAATCTCTAGTTACTATTTATGTCTACCTCACTTTCTGGTCATCTGACCCTTCAGGTCAGGATGACCAATAGCCATCCTGTTTTGTCTGTCATTGGTGGCCATGCATAAATTTCCATTCAAATTACTTCAATAACCAAAAGCCCAGGTTAAGATATTGAGCTTGTAGCATGCTGTTTTAAAGGGCTTACAAGTTTGTTAAAATGAATTACCTTGACTCACTTTCAAGGTAACAGGGGCCAAATATGTTGAAATATTTAAAAGTCTTCTTCTCAATAATCAAAAGGCCCAGAGTGCATGCTTGAATGAAGAGCTACAAGGTTTGTTCACGTAACATAACTTTACCCACTTTCAAGGTCACAGGTGTGAAATATGTCAAAATCTTTAAACAACAACTTCTCAATAATCAAAAGATCCAGGCTTCCAATTAAATTCAAATGATCAGCCTTGACCTATATTCAAGGTCTCTACGGTCAAATATGTTGAGATCTTCAAATTTCTTCTTTCAATAGGCAATAGGTCAGGGATCATGGTGTTTGTGCCATAACATGTAAGAGGAACAGGATATTAAGTTTACAGAAGATATTTTTATGAACTAGCAATGTCTGTAAACTGTAGTGTAGTTGAGAAATATGGGCCTATTTGGCCCCAGTCATATATAGGTGTTGATAGTCAGATGAATGTTAAGGTCCATTGGGTTCTTTTAGTGTGGTGAGACATTGTTTCGGTGCTGACCATCCATCTTTCATACTTCTATACTTGCCAGTATTTGGTAAAGATGTTACTTTTGTGATGAGACTGCATGAAATTGGTCTGCAGATTAAAGGTTGTGTGATCTCTTTCTAAAAACAACAATAATTTCCCTCACTTTTTCTCTTGACTACAAGTGCTCATCCAGCTTTTATCCAACACAACCTCTGTTTGGTTGTGAAATTTAATCATCATCCCATTTTATTGAAATATGTTATTAGGTGTGTTACAATGGAACTTGAATGATTTTTTTTTTGTAATAGTAACTACATTTAAAGTTTGATTGATTGATCTTTGCTCGCTAAAATAGAAATCTTTGTGGAAATCACAATATCTGTAGTGATTGTTTTGAGAAACTTTTAAATTGATGGCTTCTACTGCTGCAAATTTAGTGGAAGAATAATAAATCTTCTTTTGATAACTACAGGTGGAAACTCCACGAGTCGTGCATGTTAGCAATGGGAAGTGTGATGAGTCTCGTAGTGGACATGGTACAGTCGGGCAAGGTTCAGTTTGACATCACAGGATTCCTGCAGTCAGTTGTTCTCACAGATATGAATTACTCAGGTAGGTAGATCGCAATAGGTCACCCTGAGACTTTGTCTCCAGTAACCTGTTGTGATCCCCTTTTGTCTAGCATTGTACGCTGTAAACTCTCAACATTTTTGACTTTTTCTGGAAAACTCCTGAAACAATTTCAATGGATGGGGTAAAATTTACTATAGTTTATAGGAAAATCACATTTTTGAACAAAATTTGTTTATTTTCTTTTTGAATTTGTTCTGACTTAGAATAAATAGTAAAAGATGACAGTTTGATGAGATGTACATGTCTACCTCAGCAGACCCCCAGGGGCTGATAGGTGGGGCCAAAAATGGGTCAAATTGATTGAAATGTCAAAAAGATTCTACTGTTTATGGATGGAAGAGTTTACATAGGAAAATTCACTTTTTGAGTGTAGTTTCATTTAATTCAAACTTGGTTAAAGGCCTTAGCATGGGACAACAGTTAATGCTAAACAGGCTTTACATTTGCCTTATGTGTACAATGTAGTTAAAGTTCTCTTACATTTTTAAGCCAAATCATTTCTATGACATGTTACAAGGAGCGTTGTAACTGTGGTGACTGTTAATGCCCTTGGTCCTCTTGTTAAACTAAATACTGTCAGGATGTGTAAACATTCTCCAATCCTTCTTTATGTTTGTTGTAGCTGAAGTAAAGGATACCAGGAAACAAATATGGTTTATCATGTATGATGCTGTGGGCTCTACCCTAGGTTTTTCTGTCAGGAACAAGTTATCTCCCTTATTTATTAGGTCAAGAAGAATAATTTACTTTTGAATGGCAGCTTTGACAATAAAATCCTCTCCATATCTGATAATAGTGTTTTCAGAACATTGGCAAATACCCTACAGCTCTGTAGTGACACTTTTGTGTGTTGTATTGCTATTCTGGAAACTTGTTGAGAATTAAAATCAAAGTTATAATTTACATTTTGTGTCTCTTGTAGAAATTCAGAAAAGGCAAATGAAAATTTGTTTCTCGAGTATTTTAGCCAATAAAGATCAGAATAGGGCAAAAATGAATTAGGAGTGCTTTATTAAGAAATTTGCATCAGTATAATCAGGAGTGTTTTGAATTTGCAGTTTCATCATTTTTGGTTGGAAGGTGTCTTTGGACAGCCAGTAGATACACAGAAGTTATGACCCCAGAATTATTACAAAGGTTTGTATACTTTATAACATTTTATGCCTGGTCATTTTATTAAGTTGTATGTCTGTCTGTCATGTACCTTTGCTTTCAGTATTAATGTTGTATCTTGAGAACTTCTTAACAGGTTTGTTTCATATTTAACCTAATAGTATCATAACATCAAGTTGTAAACCTTATGATAGATGATTTATTGGTCAAGGTGAAGAGGTCAGATGTCACATTGGACAACCTATCTTTCTGAAATTATGACATTTTGCTTTGTTTGTTAGTTTGTTTTTCTCTCTCACACAAAGTGGTTTCTAGAATTTGAAGGCAGTTCAGAGAAACATGGCACTGGGTTCACAAAGGCTATTTACTGTGGAGAACACATCTACTTAAATTTGGGTTTTAAAGAAATAAAACATTACACTTACATTACTCGCTATTTTAGATATAAATGTTTGACTTTTGTGCTTTTAAACTACTCTTTTTGATTTCACAGATTCCTGCAGTCAACCATAGGTGGTCTCCATGCTACCCAGCCAGCCACCGTCCGGATATCAGCAATCCGTGCCATCTTCAGCTATTGCACTCACTTCAGAAACAAGAATGACACCCAGCTGTTACTGCCATTCCTACCTAATATAGTGGAGGGTCTTATATCCATAGCGACGCAATATTCCTCAGATGTACTCTCTCTGTGTTTAGAGACACTTTCAGTTGTACTTTCGGTAAGGCGATACTTCAGAACTAAAAATAAAGGCAGAGAGGAACACACTTCAAATGTGCACATTTCTGAGAACTGATCTTGATGTTTTAATGAAACTTTTAATTTAAAGGCAATGAACTGATTGTTTTGTTCAAGAGATCTTGTCTAATTTTCTCTCTTATGATATCAATATATATGATTTTCCTCATGACATTGTCCTCCTATATGACTGAAAAAACAGTTCGAAGGTATTATTTCTTTATGATATAGATATTTTTTTAAAAAGTGGACATTGAAGAAATAAAATGTGGACATGGTTGTTTTCTTGAAATTCTTACGAATAGATATAATTAGGAACTTGCTTTGGTGCTCTGTTTATTGATATTATCAATGTCATTATCCTTCTATAGGTGGATAAAGCGTTCACAGCAAGTGTAGAAAGCAAGGTGACACCTTTAACAATAGCCGTCTTCCTCAAATATTCTGGGGGTAAGTTTTCATGTAAAATTCATTTTGAGTTATTGAATACTGTGGATTTTTTTTTTCTCGATTGTTCAGATTTTACCAAAAAACTTCAAGGAAAAAAGAAACAGACTTTTGTTTTCTCTTTTATTGTCAAGGTTTCATTATTTTTTCATTACTTTCATTGTGTCACAAAAAAGTATGTTTAACTGAAGTTGTTAATGGATTGATATATATGTAGATAAACATTTCTCATGATTTATTTTAATTTGAACATCTGTGATAATTCTAAGATGAACCTGATTTCAGATCCTGTTGTTGTCAGCATAGTACATGACATTTTCAAAGTGCTTGCTGCCAATGAGGACTGTATAGGTCCATTAGAACATAGACTACTTCCAACCCTTGTGAGCATATTACAGTCCCCAGACAAAGTACCAGTCAGTTTGCCTGTGGTGAGTCACATACTGTTGATATATTGCAATGACTTTGACGTAAAGCGTTGACAAGGATTATTACTACTGATTGACGTTCTGCTCTGGTAATTTACAGAAAGCTTCAAAGTAAAACATTACCCAGTTTTTTTATGTTTTGAAGAGGAATGAAGGTTTTTTTTATAAAAGTAACATTGGAATTAAAACCTAAAGAGGACCATCATTCATGAAATGAAAAAGGATTGACATTGAAATTGTTAAAAATTTTAAATTCTTTGCCATGATATCTGTAAGATGTCTATATTACAGGAATCATTGGATGTGTTGGAGACAATGTTGAGAAGCTGCCAAGCACCTCTCTCAGAAGTCATGATCAAATCTGCATTTCCAGCAGCAGTCCACTGTACCCTTCATTCAGATGACAATGCCACCATGCAGGTCAGATATCTTGTGCTATGTAGTATTTATAAATGACCTTTTTGCTCTGCTTTACAAAGTTCTAATCCAAATATTGTGAAAACCGTGGTAAACATCAAAATTGAAAATGTGATGCAGATGTCATGATAATCATCAGGTAATTCAAGTGACATCTACTCCAACACTCTTAATTAATTTGCTACCATTCAGTTCCACTCTAAATCCGTGTGAAAATATTGTATAATGGTACCTCAAAATGAAACCTTGATTTTTCAGTTACAGTCTACCCTCGTCATAAAGACAACTTTTTCCAATACCAACTTTGACATTATATTAAGGGTGGTAATTGTGATCAAAATTTGAAAATAGCTTATGAATTGTAAAACAAAATTCAAATGTCATCATTAATTTGTGACAAAATTGAATTACTACTTAACTGTATATTTTGTAAATGTAGATTTTCTGACTTTGTTTTTTTATGCATTTTAATAGTGATTAACAACATCTTGCCTTAGAAGTTATTGAAAAACATAGAGCACAGCTTACATTGTCATCTTTAAGATTTTCATCATATTTTGTCTCCATGTTGAAACAGAGCGGAGGTGAATGCTTACGTGCTTTCGCATCAGTTGCCATGGAACAAGTAGTGGGTTGGCATGATGATCAAGGACACAATGGCCTGTACTACATCATTCAAGTGATATCTAAATTGTTAGATCCAAAGACTTCAGAACATACTGCATCCTTCATTGGTCGCCTGGTGTCGGTGGTACTAATTGGGGTGGGAGCAAGCCTAGGAGAAAACCTGGACTTAATGTTGAGGGCTGTCCTTAGTAAAATGCAACAGACAGAGACGCTCAGTGTAATGATGGTAAGGTACTCCTGTTTCTCATGGAAACATGATCAAAGATTATTGCAAAACCTTTATTCACTATATTCAGTAATGGAAAATACTTTCCTTCTTAAGAAATGTAAAGTTTTGCATTATTGTCTTAAATATCCAGGTGAGTGATACAGGCCATCTGGGCATCTTGTTTCATCTAAATACAATGCAGTAAACACATTCAAGCTTTAAATTTGTAATACAAGTTTTTAAACACAATAAAGTTGATTCAGTTATAGTCTTGAAGGTAGTATTTAAGTAGATATAATTTTTGCTTTAGACAATCAACTTATGTTTGATATAGCTGCCAGTATGGAGAGTATGCTGATTATGTTAGGCTTCATACTTCGCTATTACAAGGGCTATGACCAATGTATGATTAAACAATTTTCAGAGCCTGGTGATGATATTCGCTCAGCTGATGAATACACAGATGGAAGCTGTGCTAGAGTTTCTAACCAGTGTTCCCGGTCCAACAGGAAAGCCTGCATTGGAGTTTGTACTTGGTGAATGGTGCTCCAGACAGCATCTGTTTTACGGTGCCTATGAGAGGAAGGTTTGGTGAGCACCTTATGTAGTTAAATATACGCCCTAATAGCACAGTTATCTTCTTCAAAATTAATACAATTTACATTGTATTAAGACCCATCACAATTTTAAACACTGCTTCGAAGAAATTAACATAGGTTAAATATGTATTTCAAACTTTGATAATTTTGTTTCGTCTCCCTCTGAGAGAGAGCAAGAGTAGACTTATTTTAATCAACATTATTAGAGTGAATTCACGATTGGTTTACTTATCTAGTAAATTGCTGTATTTCTTGCAGTTCCGTTGCCCTGTGTAAGTTAATGCTGCATGCGATCCAGAACAATGACACTCGACTACAGGAGATCATGGTTCAAGGTGACCAAATTGACACACCAGCCAAAGGGGTTCGCACACGTTCTAAAACTGCCAACAGTAAGATTCACACAAAAAACGTAGTTGTAGCATTTTTTTAGTATTTATTTATGTAGTGTAAGTATATTACAGTTGTCAGCACCAACAGCTTTTATTTTGAAAATTTCTGGGGAAACTGTTTGTTTCACACACTTACGTCATGGCCTCATGCTTTGTTGTAAATTTTTAAAGATTTTAATTTTTTTTTTTTTTTTCACTTTTTTGCTCTTTTTATTTATCTTTTTTTTTTAAACACATAACGCATTTTTACAGATGTTATTCATTTGACCAACATACATTTTGCAAGTTATCGAAAAATCCTTCTATAACAATTAAACATTTAACCTAAATGAATGTTCTTATGACCATAAGACTACTGAAAAGATAATGTATTTTTTCTGACATCTGATTATCAAAGAGAACGTAGTTGTACTGACATCTAATTATCAGAGAATGTAGTTGTACTGACATCTAATTATCAGAGAATGTAGTTGTACTGACATCTAATTATCAGAGAATGTAGTTGTACTGACATCTAATTATCAGAGAATGTAGTTGTACTGACATCTAATTATCAGAGAGAATGTAGTTGTACTGACATCTAATTATCAGAGAATGTAGTTGTACTGACATCTAATTATCAGAGAATGTAGTTGTACTGACATCTAATTATCAGAGAATGTAGTTGTACTGACATCTAATTATCAAGGAGAAATTCATTTTATATTAGTAAAATAATAGATTACTAGTTACTTTATGTTTTTGTAATTACCTCTACTGTATAAAATTTACAATGAAAGACGGCTCACAGAAGAATGTTTTGGGTATACTAGCATAAAAACTTTCATACCTTTTGAACAGCACCAGTCCAGTGGACCACAATCCCAGTGTTGGTGAAAATCTACAAGCTTCTTATCAATGAGCTTTCCAATCAGATAGAGGCCAGTTTGTCTAATCAGGCATCAGGAGGGGATGATCTAGACGACGATGTAAGTACTGTATCAAGTTCAACATGTCACAAAATGTGTAACCATTGGTCCTTCATGGTTTTGTGGAGACTTGTCTGCATTCATCAGAGTAGTGATAGGATGCTGAAATTTTGCTGGAAAGTTCATTTGGATTCAAACAAATCAGTACCTTGCACTGGAAATTGGAAATGTTTGATTGGTGTAATTTTTTCATGAATTTTGAAATTTTGCACTTAATCTTTCTCACTTTAAGGCTTTGGTTTGAAATCGGGCATACATGTTTCACAAAAATTTCTAGTTTCTGAAAGGTCTTCTTGATGCCTCAAAAAATAGGCTGTAGAATTTTTTGTGAATGAGTGTCTGAATTTCAATGCTGTTCAGTCCCAAATATCATTGAATATAACATTAGCAGTAGAGTATCATGCAGCACTCAGAAAATTCAACTGATTAAGTTATCTTGGTTTCATAAAATAATAATGATTGTTGGTAGATTTCTTACACTATATAACTCAGTACTAGTGCACTCCACACTAGTCAAATGTCGGATGAAGGTGACCATGTAGTCATCGAAATGTCACACTCTCATCTTCTATTGTTTTATTATAAGAACTTCTATTGTATTGACATTACCAACCTGAAGAAAATGCTCCAAAATAATGATAGTGGTGTTACTTCATTCCAAACTTCTTCAAATGGCTGGACTTTGCAATAAGAATGCTACTTATTTGGAATGGTTTTAACTCTATTAATGTATTCCTGTGTCACTGTTGTAGGATGAAGGTTGGGATGATGAAGATGATGATGCAGATGATGATGAGTTGGTTGATGAATCTGCTTTGACTGGTCATACATTATCCAGTCTTATAGACCAGTTCGCAGGAGAATTTGAAGGTAAAATGGTGTCATATCAGTAGCTTTAATGAACATCATAATATTAACGTTACATTGTTTTTCTGAGAACCTTGTATCAACATATGAAGTTTAATTGATGATCAAAAACATTTGCATGTGAAGATCAAATATACGAATGTATTGTCAGTGAATTTGGTAAAGTAAATTTGTTGTTTTGAAAAGTAAAATCTGTTGAAAGTTTGAGATGTACTTCTGCGAACTTATAAGATGAGATGTACTTAGGTATAAGAATTCAATATTTTCTCTAATTCTTGCAGGCTACGGAGCTGATGAAGAAGAAGAGGAGGATGACCCAGACCAGATTAAAGATCCTACAAATCAAATTGATTTGCAGGTAAGCATAGAAATTAAGTTGTGTTTGTTGGCCATAATTTTTTAGAGGAGTATGTAGATTTACCTTTGTCCGTACAATCCATTCAGAATGTATGTCATGTCTTAAGGATCCCGTAACAGATCTGGTTCATGTCTACTCCAAAGTATCATAAAATCTAGTTCTTCACCTGATCTGATTCTGGTTTACATAGGAGTAAGGACATTTACCTCTTGTAAATATTTTTTGGTTAAGTATCAAGATAGTTTTGTTTGTCCATTAAATTTATTTATATGAAATTGATTTTATATCAAATTAGATGCATCTTTGTCTAATTAAAGGGTGAATCCTGCACTGAAAATCAAAGAGAATGAAAGAAAGTGTAGAAAAGTATTTGTAGCTGTCATTATCTTGTGTAACCTTAAGTCAATTATGTCTATCTTTTTTTAGGCCTACCTGACAGAGTTTCTGCAGTCCCTGTCACAGCAGCCTTGCTATAGTATGTTTACTGCACACCACTCCGAGTCAGAGAAACAGGTGCTCCGTACCATCAGCGTCAACACGTGACAGGTGTTGGGACTCTTACTGTGATTTTATCTGAAAATCTTTACACTTCATTTTCTTGGATTTTGATGTTTGTGTGTATACGAATACAGAATGGGTATCACCATTCAAGAAGGTAGACTGTAATGATTTTTATGGACATTGTGCAATGGAATTTATGTCCTTTCACTGTGATTTTAGCGTGGATTTTAAGGCTTATCAACAGCATTATAACATGGAAAACGAACTCTCTAGCAATAGTGATTTCCTCAGTTTCTTCAAGTCTGATATATTGGTTATGGTTGTGTACCCCCTGTACTTGCTGTTTCTGTCTTATTTTACTGTAACAAAAAATCCTGCTCGTGTCAATTGTCTGTGTTGGAATCTCGTTAAAACAAACTTCATTTCTGTTCTACAAGTCTAACTGATCATTCTGGATTAATGATAGATCAGTGTATCTTGTCTTACATTCATGATCATTACTTGGCACCATGTCATGATTTTTATAGACTAATGGCATGATTTTACGAAGATGTTTTTATCTTTTTCCCTCCCTATTTTAATAGTTCAGTTTGTTTAGATGTTGGGTATGGTTGCGAAATTTTGGGCTAGTAAAAGATTGGAGTTCGTGTAAAAGACTATTTCTTAAAGGTAAATAAAATGTTAGGGTATTATGTCTTCAATTCGAATTAAATGCTAGATTTGCTCTGAGACTAATTAATAGCTTCTGGACACTTGTGATGAAATAGTCCTAAATGTTCACATTTTATTGATTGTACATTTTATCTTGTTAAAAATGGATTGGATTTTGAATTGAGCTGATAGAATATTGAAACATCAAATTAAAGAGGTGTGTTATTTATGCTTGTTTACATTGATATTGTGCCACAGTAAGTTGACAAATTAAGAGTAACAAGTTGCAGGCTGGTTGACTTCTTACACTTGAGTATGACAACTATTGGATCCCAAGGGATAACTGCCATTGGGCAAACATGTAGTCCTGTAAATTATCAGTACCAGACTGGTCAAAGATTTAGTGAAAGATCAAAGGTCAATAGCTTCCTCTTGTTAAAAAATTATTACCAAATTTTAATACACAGCTTTTAATAAAAACCATTGTCTTGTATACTGTTAAGCCTTTTGTTTTTAACGGAAGTTCTCGGTTATGTCGAACTTAGCACAGCTGACTATGAAATTCCTGTTGAATACACAATTTTGGTCAGTATCTTTTATTTATGGTTATAATGAATAGGCAATTCATTTGATGAAGCACTGTAAAGTTTATTTAAATGTAAATTTTATAAAAGTTAAATTTCTCTTTGTAAATCATGTTGTTATTGAAAATATTGATGTTCATAGATATTTTCATAACTTCAAAATGTTTGTTCCCACCTGTTTTTATCTCCCTTTAACTTGCCTTACTGCAATGTTTTAATCGTCTTTGTAGTTTGTGTACCTTGTATCTGATGTATGTGCTCGGAGATTCTATTATTTATTAAAACATGCGTCATACATGTCTATATTCTTTGTGTTTTATGTTAAAGTTTCATATATCACGTAATTCTAGCAAGTCATTACTACACACAATGGTAATTTCAAATGTTTCCAACACCCCTGATATTGTCAGGTCATATAACCTACAATCATGAAAAATTATGTAGTGTCCCACATTATTTCATCACTTTGATTAGTATTTAAAAAATTCAAAATAAGTTTTGGAATTGAAAATGGTCAAAAATGGCAAATTATTATCTAGATACATAAAAATGTTGATCCGATAAATTCTCAGTACACTTCAGTAATTCCATGAAGAAACAATGGTTTATGTATATCAGAAAAGCAATCAATTATATTGCATCACTAATGACAAGCTTACAATGCATATTTACCACTGCTACAGTTTAACCTTACAAAAATCTCATGTATTGTAAGATCATGAACCTGAAAATAAATATTTTACAAATAATGTAAACAAATTCAGACCCCCCCATTAAAACAGATTGGAAAAGGATCGTAAGAATGGAACTGCATCTACTTGAATTCTGTAGACAACACGAATGCCAACCAGGGGGAAATTTGAACAACGAAGCCTGTTTCATCTATGTGACCTGAAAGTTTTGTTTAATGCTGAATTATTCTGAAACAGAAAATTTATATCTGCTGCAATCCTTAAATCTAGGTAAGGAAAGAAAATTGTTGATATAACATGTATACAGTAAGTATCTATTTACCCTACACAAAACCGATACATTCGTATGACACAGACAAGAAAAAAATACACGTCAGCAGAATTTTTATTCAAACACAAAATTCCTTTATGAGGTGATATATCAACAAAAGAAAGATCAGTCTGTATCTCCTGAAACCCTCTGCTGCGAGTTTACCTGCCAGATGTCGACATCTTGCACATAAATCATGATATTGGTAACAAGCCCTTGAATAGTCAACTGCTACTTAAAAACACCGTTATGTTTCTATCCTTCAATGAAAATATACTATCAAATCCCACACGTCTATCATACCGCTTTATTGAAAGATGTTCATGTTTGTTTCGTTGTACAAAATATCGAAGAAAGTGGGAGTTTAGTCACGTATACATACAAGAACAAGTCGGCCAAGATTGTTTCCATGGGTACGCCAACAGTGTGATGGAAGATAATACCACTACCAAATTCGATCATACCAGCGATTTTATCCTCGGTGTTTTTCCTCTGGGCTTCAGACGCACTATGCACAAAGTCATATAATCCAGTATAGTCAACAAACCACTTCTACCACTTCTCACTTAAAAAAAATAAATAAAAACTAAAACACCTGTAAAGATCGTACAAAAGATACACAAGTGAAGAGCACCTTTTCATACAAATGCCGAGTTAAACATGCTGGAGCCGAACAAAGAATCGAACTGCATCGTACAGATGTTTCGTCCTTCTAGGAGTCGTCGGTGATGCCAAGGGCCTAAATTTTAAAGCCATGGAGGCGACCGAGGAAAATCCAGATAAGTTGAAAGCAGCAGCCCCATGATTAAATAAATTTCGTTATTTAAATTAATCAAAAAATTTAGAACAACGTCAAGTACACGTGTCTATCCTGAACCGCGCCTCTATTCGAATAACCACACGTCATAATAGTGTTTCTCGGTACGGTACTCTGCAGAGTGGAAAAATCAAAATGTCTTTATACTTTCGTGTTATAAAGGTCCTACATGTTACGACAGAGTAACGTCTGCCCTTTTCGAATGATATTCCCGGAATCTCCCGAACACTTCAGATTTCGATCTCTTTATACCCTGCAGTTCTTCATCGCTAATCATGTTGATGTCCTTCTTTTTGACGTTCTTGGACTCTGAATTCTCTCGAGAGCCATTCGAGTCACTGACTGTTACTATTTTCATTTTCAGACTTCTTGATGGCAGAACTACCTTTGGAAGTGTAAAAGTCTGTCTATACGATACCTGCGGAGATGTCATTCTCACTATAGGCTCTTTACTACTAACGTTTAGAGAGGGGAGTCTCATTTTGAATCTGACATGATTTGTCTTTTTACTTTTTGTTGACGACCGTAATGTGAAAATCATATTTCTCTTTGTTGGGCTAGTATGATAATCCTGTGTATATTGTGAATGTGAATCAATATCTAGAGGCGATATATTTCCAATTTCACTTGTTCCTTTTTCGCCTGTTAAAGTGACATTTTTTCTGTCCCTGACAATACTGTTTGCTTCCTCCTCGGATATCCCTACCTTTATCGTGTTATTAAACCCGTCCTGTGTCAATGGAGTTTCAGTTTCCAGTCTCTGGTGTCCAGGTCGACTACTTCGCTTTCGCTGTTTGGAAGGTTTATCATATATGATATGGTCTTTACCTTTCTTTGATCGTTTCTTTCTATCTTTGCTTTTAATGCCGAATTTTCTGTGCTCGTTGTTGCAATCTCTTTTGTCCTGTCCAAAAAGTGTTTCTGAATGATTCTGTGTTTCATGCACTTCCTGTACATTTTCGCTGTTACGTGATTCTTCTAGGTCTATTTTTGACATCTGAGTTTCAATTTCCTCTGAAATGTGTTGCCACGTAAATGTGCTCATGGATGGTATTTTCCGTACAGCCTGTAGTGTCATTGTATCTAACGCTGTCCGCGACAATCTTTTCAATGTCATGTCTGTCGAATTTGAGTGCTCCGAATATCTACCTCTTTTGTTTCTTTTAGTCTTTCGGTAGCCACGTCGGTTCATTTTGTGAACAGTATTTCGTTCCTGGTACCACACACTTTCCAGTGTCGATTGACTCCGCTGATTTCTTATTTCATATTTACGACAATGTTTTTGACGATTTTCCCAGTCTATTATTTAAGAAAGCCAACAACACACTTCAGTTGTGGAATGTCCATTTGTGTATTAGATATGTTGGAGTTAAAGAGTTAAAACGCTGGTAACACAATTCAAGCCATTCAACATGCAATTATCTGTAACAAAGTGTACAGATGTTCGTCATGCTTTCTCGAGTAATTATAATCATTTGTAGGCATAACAAAAGGAAAATACAACAATACCCGAATACCAATACAACGTCCTATCTAAGTATAAACTATGTCGGGTAGATGATAAGGTAGTACTTTAAACAAACAGGTCATGATATCAACATTACAAGTATATGTGAGGGTCACTTGTAACAGAAGTTAGAATTGTGTACATTTTTCATATTTCATCAAATCAATGTTTTTTGTCCGTTATCTAGTTATATATCCTCTATCTGTAATAAGATCTGTGGGTCTTTTTGTGTAAATATATTACAAGATAAATTAAGTTTATAGATGATTTAATTTATCCTGTGTCTGTAATGATGTCAACATGTCGGAAGATGCCCTTTTATGTAAATATATAGCGAGATAAATGAAAGTTATGGATAACTTTGTTTATTCTGTGTCTGTAATGGTATGGACAGGTCAGAAACTTCCTTTTCTGTAAATATATATTACTAAATAAATAAATTTATTGATGATTTGATTTATCATGTGTCTGTTATGAGATCAACAGGTCAGATGGTGCATTTTGGTGTAATTATATGATGAGAAAAATTAAGTTTATAGATGATTTTATTTATCCGGTGTTTGTTATGAGGTGTGCATGTTAGAAAATGCATTTTCGTTAAATACATAATGGGATGAATCAAAATTATAGGTGATTTGATTTATTTTGTGTCTGTAATGAGATGGACAGGTTAGAAACTGCCTTCTTGTGTGAAAATATAACGAGATAATTCAAATTTAAATGAAAAATTTATGAATTGAAAAAGCAAATCATGTCTCCATATATCTTTAATTTTGTGTTATGCTGTATATCAGGCCGTTAACTACAGAAGCTCATTCTTTCTACTATATTATTACACTAATGACAATAAACTGATAAAATTACCATGTGCGTCCTACTTGTGTTGTCAGTAATTTCTACTGTTCATGTTTACGATTTAAGGACTGACCATCTGAAACAAAAACAGTCAAAAAATCGAAACTACTTGAACACGATGATATTTCCAATTTAAATTCAAATATTTATTTATGGAAAATATCAAGAGATTACTTACTGTTCTGATTTCTATTGCAACTGCAGTAAAACGAATTATTTAACAGCTGGAAGTGAAAAAAACAATACGTTTCGAAGGTTTGTGAGCAAAATAGATAAGAAGACATAAACGTCACACATCAATTGTTTTGATTAAAAAAGGGAAAACACAAAATATCCATAATCTATGAGGAAATTCACATTTGATATATCCATAAAAGGGAGATAATCGTATTCTTAATCTGTGTTCTGTATGCTATTCTTCTTTAATAAGCTCACAAGGTGTCCTTATGAGTGTAATTATTGTGGAATTATTGTCATTGTGTCAATGTTTCTAAAATTCTATTTAGATTTAAAAAGGAAATAGAAACTGACTTAATATTTATTTCTTTGCTAGATGAATTATTTGCAGAATCATCAAAAGATCACACACCTTCTGTAATGGATTATCACTATTACGTTTGTATCCTTTGATAACAGTAGATCTGTGACCATTTTTAAAAACATATTGTTTCTATATCTGCTGCATACATTTTTGTTTCAGTAGTTGTTCATATGCTACAAACCTTGGAATCCTGCTTGTTTAAAATATGTTAACTCCAACAGGGGCATTTGCATACCAGCAGTTTGGTGTTGAATAAATTAGATGTCTCAAATACAGTGCAATGTAACATATCATATTGAACGTATAGACAAATTATTTGACATCTATCGCAAAGTATTGAAAATAGGAAGGGGGTTTAAAAAATTAAGGTATAAACATTTAAAATTTATAACTTTATTTAGTTTTCATAAGCACCGGGGATTAGTTTACGGTGATTGAGACCTCTTGGATTAGTTTGGATACATGATCTGAAAGTACCTTTGGCAAATTCCTTTTAAAAGTCTCCGCTGAGAATTTGGGCCAACTCTCAAGGCCTGGAGCTCCAGTCCCGCTCTGAGAGCAAAATCAAGTCCAAAAGTATAGAGTAGAGTGTGTAGTAGCTTTTGTAATGTGACCATTCCCAGAATTCCAAGAGACCACAATTTATTTTCCTCTTGAAAGGAAATTACAGAATCTTGACGTTTCTGTATGCCTTTCTAGTCTGAACTTTCCTCTCCATGTCCAAGGTCTTCGCAACTCTCCAAAGTTTTCTCCGTCCAAGAAATTACATTTTGACACTTTTCACGAAGATTATACTGAATTCCATTAATGATTTCATAGATATACTCAGTTCCATCCTTCTTGTGTATCTTCATAATTTTCCTCATGAACCTCATCATCCTGTATCTCTTTAAACTGTTTTGAGAGTTTTTCTCTAAGTTGTCGACATTGGGAACAAGCCATAGAAATCATGCAAAACTCCGTAGCTTGGTGATGAAGGGATATTGCTATCTGGGATTTTAAAAAAAATCATAACAAGAATATTGAAATCATTACGCTTATCATACAGATTGTTGGAAAGTTGTCCATTTTTGTTTTATAGCAAGAACATATTAAAATAAGCGGCTGATGTAGTGGAGTCTGGGTTGTCTTGTTTCCACATGGTGGATTTATACAATGGGCATGGTTAAGTGATATTTAACAACAAGAGACATCGATATATCTGAAAGATAAATTAAAGAACTTGGCAAAGCCTTTGTGAACTGTTTTGATAAGCTCTTATGAAAACAAAAGCAAGTCAAATTTTAAGATGAAGGTTAATGAAAATTGGAAGTTCAACGGTCGTCATAGTGATTTCATTAAGAAATATTTCTTTGTGCGATATGAAGTGGAACGTGTTGGATGCTTGTTAATTTGACTGTTAGTTCCGTTTTTGTCAGACATCGTTTTCATTTCGGAACGTGAATCTTGTCAATTAGATTGACCAAGATTTACTTGGCACGACTCGTCGTTGAAGCAGAGGACGCTTACATTTCCTGAACACATGTTCTTATTCTGTTTGCATTTTTCAGGAGTCTCCGTGTAAATTTTTCTTCTATTTATTTAGTGCCATAGATTAATTGAATTTGAGTTTGAATCATGATTATGTTGACATGCATTTGGTATTTGATTTGTTACAGTTTCTAGCCGAGGCAGAGACAACGTTTGTACCTACATGTATGCCCTGAGTATGTTTGAAGACTTAACACCTAACTCTGTGAAAACATTGTCAACCAGAAATTCTGTATGTACGATGTCGCCCCGTGTATAGGTTATCGTTTATTATGACGCATTCTCAATATTTCCCCGAAACACGCTCCAGTATAGTTTACAATCATATACTTGAACTGTCGCTTGCATTTCTTTGAAAAGAAAGCTCACGTAATACGAGACCGAGGGCGTCCTTCAGTTTGCCTTTCAGAAGAGGCTGTTCAAGACTGGCCGAAAGCTCTACATTCTGTTTATCTCACTTTTTGAGCGAATAGTATAGGACGCTGATAAAAATAGTAAAAAATGTTGGTAGCAAGAAATTTTGATAACGGTTTAAAATGATTAAAAAGAACACGAGTCTTTGTCAATATCATATCATTTATGTTTCAAATGCTTTATAACGGGCAAAATACTATTGCTACGTATAATATCTACTCATGAAAATAATGAAATATTTGTCACACTCGTGATATTGTATTCAGCAGGAAATCAATATACATGTATTTATACCTATATCCTCTATAATTTAATTTTTTTTATTACCTTGTCTTGAATCTTGTGTATTTTTGTTTGCTATTGAGCGTTTTCATGTTCGGAAGTTAACTGTATAACTTCGGTTAAAATCATTATATCTACATCAATGTTAATTCCATAATATTTACATATTTGTCTTTTTGCGCCTCCGCATGAAGAGTGCCACACCAAGAATCATTGCGAGCACGGCCATTCCGAGAATGACGGCGTGTCCTCCACGGACGCAACTCATTCCATAACAGTACACCTCCCCAGGGATTGATATCGCTGCATCGTAGAGTGCACCGAAAGCCTCTTGGGCTCCAAGACCAATAAGAGCAGATGCAAGTAGGGCGATGCCCCAGTTACGGCCGAGATTTTTGACGCTGAACATTTCACTCATGACAGCAGGAGAGAGGGACCAGATGATGCCCTGTCCCATTCCATTAATCACTGTGGCGGTGACTAGAACCGGGTACTTGTCAGCTAATCCTACTACCAGACACTGACATGTAACGAATGCTATAATCCCCGCTATTAGAATACCAAGCCGGGGTAACCTTTGCTGGAAGTAGTCAGAAATCAAGCCGATGGCGGCGCTGATGACAGCGTTGGCGATTGGTATAATAATGACGATGTCTGCGTTATGATTGTCTAGACCTAAGGCTGCCGTAGTCTGTGTCAACGCGATCGTATACACGAGACCCGTTACAGATGCGAAAGTAAATAACCATGTCAGTAGGTGATAATCAAGTGTTGTGAGGATTTTTAAAAGAGACATATCTCCAGGAATGGAGTAATTCGGAACTGCCGAATCTATAGAAGATGTCTTAAGGTCATCTGTATTTTCGTTCTGTTCGGACAAACCTTTGTCAACAGAGACATCGTCACCGTTGAATCCTTTGTTGTAAACATGTATACTACCATCAGAATTGCCGTCAACCTTCACATCCGGTGTTATTTTGTCCGCTGGCTCTGTGCGTGGATACACTCGCATGAAAGCAATACAAAGAATATCTATTACTACGAAACACACGGCGAACACTAGCATCAGAGTTGAGAAACTGTCAGCACTCTTGGGGTCATCCTTCCCAATAACATGGAAATATAGCGCTGAAAACACTGATGGACTGCCAGCGAAAAAGGCATTGAGGATTCCCACGATTTTTCCGCGGTGTTTTGGGTGGAAGTTGATGGCGTTAGTGTTGAGAGCGACCATATAGGTGAACACAGATCCTAGACCTACAACAGAATAGATAGTCAGCGATAATGTTGTTTATTATAAAGTAGAAAAACATAACATCATCTAGGACATATTTAACCAGGAAAGAAGGAATAAAACATCATTGTGTTCAGGTGACCGAAAATTGACATTTGAAGACAGTTACACTGGGTTTAGAATAGCTTTTTCGAAATATCACTTCTTTAACGATGGGTTATGTGTTTTCCGATTATAAAATAGTTCATATAAAGGGTTTAAACATATTTTGGCCTATTATAACCAGTACTTACCACAGAGGAAGAAATAGAACGCCATCAGCCAGCTATGTGAACTATAGAATGTGATGGACCTGGTGGTGCTCCAAATGAGTAGATATGCAGTCAGGGACAAGACCAATCCTAAACCCGAACACCACTGCGGCCCGAATCTATCGTAAAACATCCCCGGAAGGAATCCGATCCCAAGGCCAATGTTAAGGAAGGACGACTGCAGCTGGACTGGAAAGTAAACCATGACTGTAACGTCACCGACCGTGTATTTCAACCAAAGTTCAATGATCCGAAAACGTGTTAATGTATTATTATCAAATTTGGATTGCTTTATTGTGCATATATGTTACCAAGTATAACAGTAGCAGGTGGGGAAATCGGAAAAAAGTACCAAATAGTTAAAATCTGATTTAATAAAAGGACGGTAAAATAAGGCATCACGGAACTGAATGATATAACACAGAGACCCGACAGAAATATGGGAAAAGGTAGGCGCTTACCATAGAATACATGACACGATTTATCACGTCAAATGAATCGAACACTACGCCATCAAAGACGATAAATAAAGTATTTCAGGACTAATAAATATAACACATGAGACCTGACAGAAATATGAAAAACGTAATGTCCGAAGCGAATATAAATTACCGTAAGATACACGACACAATTTCTTTTGTCAAATCCATGGGAAATTACATAACAGTTTTACATTGATTTTATATCCGGCTAGATATTAGCTGAATCTTACCCTCTTTAGCGGTGAAGTTAAATGTTGTTTTTAAAGCATCTTCATAGGCATTAAACACGAATAAAGATCCGGATACGAACTTGGCTGAACATCCAATCGCCAAACCAATCCATTTCATTACACTAAGGTATCGTGCTGAACGCGGAACCGACATTTTCAATCAGTACAATTTCGTGTAGTTGTATACGAGTGTATGTTGTCCTGTTTACTCAAGTAATCTGTTGCTCCGTAGACTAGTTACAGAGGTATTGTAACTACAGAACATTTTCTTACTATCTATAGGCGACCCGGACATGACCTCCGGTGTTCTTTGCTCGGTTTTTAAAAAATGGTAAAAGCAATATAGCAAAAACAATTACATTACAAGATAAAAAAGCATCGGATATTTAAAAACACAGGTATATATGAAGACCAACACAATCCATTACTAGACGACAATTATATGAAGTTGCTTCTTTTATGCATGGTTTAAAATTTGGTGTTTGGTTACCATAGCAACACTTGTGTAATTGATAATTGATAGCGACCTTACTTCCTATACAATACGGTTTTGAAAGGTATTAAAATAACGTCAGTAAATGTCACGGTATCTGTAACGGATGTCAGATGTTGACGGAGAACTCGCTTTGGAAGAAACATTAAAATACCAAAAGTTACAAGAATGTTCAATACTGACGAAAAACGTATGAGATAGGGTTATAAAATGAACAAGGCGATACCATGATATCCAATACTGACGAAAAACGTATAAGATAGCGTTATGAAATGAACAAGTTGATACTAGAATGCAGACTGGTAACTTATAACACAATTATGGAAGATGAAGAAGGCATAGCGTGATATGAGTTTGTCAACATCTAAATGGCATGGTTTTTGCAATTAAGCAGAAAATCCTCTTTTGTCTTGAGAAATATATTAATATAAAAAATATGTGTGATGACCATAACTTTGCCTGTTGGTTCCCTTGCTGTATATCTTGTTCTCATTTGAGAATGTGAGGAGTCACCGTGTAAATATATTTTATTACTATTTTTGTCCTAATAATGTTTACAAGATGGTAATTTTCTTGATTTTTTTTCTAGACAACACATCAAAATTGTTCTAGCTTTACTGAGATGACATTCCACGAGACTGATTAAGGATGGTAGCGAAGAAGATTGGTGCTAAGATATAATCAATCCACCAACAGAAGAGGATTTGATCAATCACTGTCCATTCACCTTAGGGTGGACCTTCCAGGTTATGCACTGGCTAACGAGTCAATCAGATCAATGAAAATCCCTATACAGTAAATGATAATATCTTCGCATCATCATCCAAAATTCAGAAATATTTATTCATTGTCATATAATTGTTTTCGACAAATTAAATTCATAACAAATGTAAGCTCATTTGCCAGAAAATGGCAGCAGCATTGGTAATCAGTAAATCAGTAAACTTTCAAAATGCTGTTATCAGTGGCACACCACGAATGAAATCAGGTTAGATATGTCATATGTCTATCTCTTTCGTATATACAGGGCCACACCAAGAATCATTGACAGTATGGCCATTGCCAGGATGACTGCATGTCCGCCACGAACACAACTCATTCCATAGCAGTACACCTCGTCGGGAATTGATATCGCTTCGTCATATAGTGCACCGAATGCCTCCTGGGCTCCGAAACCAACCAAAAAGGACACCAAAAGGGCAATACCCCAGTTACGGCCGAGATTATTTACACTGAACATTTCACTCATGACAGCAGGAGCGATGGACCAGAGGATGCCCTGTCCCACTCCATTAATCATTGTGGCGGTGGCAAGAGCCGGGTACTTGTCACCCAGCCCTACCACCAGGCACTGGCAAATAACAAATGTCATATTTCCTGCAACGAGGATCCCAAGACGAGGTAGTTTTTGGTGGAAGTGATCAGAAATCACTCCGATGGCGGCACTGATGACGGCGTTGGTAATGGGAATTATCAGGACAATGTTTGAGTTATAACCGTCCAGGCCTAGTGCTGCTGTCGTTTGTGTTAGAGCGATCGTGTAAACCAAACTAGATACAGACGCAAGTGTAAATACCCACGTCAGAAGCTGGAAGTCAACGTTGGCAAAGATCGACAAGATAGACATGTCATCGGGGCTTGTGTCTCCAATTGGAACTTCCGAATCTACACCAAACGATTTGTTATTGTCATCATCCTCTGAAGTATGAATTATCGTTTTCGTATTAGTGCCAGCATTTAAAATGTCCTGATCTGTAGCTGTCCTCTTAATATCAGCAATGTACCCTGACTTTTGGGTGATGCTTATATCGTTTTCAATATCAAAGCCTTTGTTGATAACATGTTTATCGTTTGTTCTCGCCTCCAATACTGTTATGTCACATGACTTGTCATGTGGTAGTACTCTCATGAAAGCAATACAAAAAATGTCAATGACAACAAAACACACGGCGAACACCAACATCAGAGTTGAGAAACTGTCAGCACTCTTGGGGTCATCCTTCCCAATAACATGGAAATACAGCGCTGAAAAAACTGATGGGCTTCCAGCGAAGGAGGCACTGAGGATTCCCACGATTTTTCCACGGTGTTTTGGGTGGAAGTTGATGGCGTTAGTGTTGAGAGCGACTATATAGGTGAACATTGATCCTAGACCTGCAATAGAAAAGAAAAATACCTGTCTGTATATTTATACAAAGCGTCAATTTATATATATATATATAAAAACACGATCAAGTCGATAATACATCAGGCTAGCTGTCTAGGGGAGAAACTGCAAAAATGGATGAAATTCAATAAATTTATTTAGGATCCTTTGCTTAGACACATTTCTATCTGTTTGACAAGAAGATATTTAATGGGATGTGTCATACTAACCTAGTTTACTTCTTTTCAATGCTCTTTAGTAGACATATATATGAATTTGAAACTTACATATCCATCTTGATATATGTTTTTGTAATATTTAAGTTAGGTATTCTCCTCTATAGTGTTAAGATTTCTTGAAAACTAAAACCACAGTACCAGTACTTACCACAGAGGAAGAAATAGATCGCCATCAGCCAGCTATAAGAACTATATAGTGAAATGTTTCTAGTGGTACTCCACAGGAGTAAATACGCCGCCAGGGATAGAACCAGTCCTACCCCCGAACACCACTGGGGCCCGAACCGATCATAAAACATCCCTGGCAGGAAGCCCATTCCTAGACCAACACTTAGCAATGATGACTGTAATTGAACTTAAAAACAAGAGATTATGTATCGTGGGTCGCTTAGAATGAAATCAATTAATACTGAAAATTGCTTTGAATTATGGTTTTTGTGCAACAACCCGTCTACTTTTCGATATTTATTTTGACAAATTTGTATTTTCGTCAGCCTCCTTCTAGGTTTCGCGTCCGTTAGCATTACCGATACGTTCGAGAATGACGAAAAAGCTGTATCATGCTAATTAACTTGATTTGTAATGAAAAGTACTACTCACTCGTGTGTCTTTTCCAGAATATTCAGAGTTAATGACATCAAAATAGGTATATCAGTTTTATACAACCAATGAAAAATGACCTTTATCTAAAACATTTATAACATTTTATATATTCCGTAAATGGAATGAAGCTACTATTTTGACCTGACTGACGCTATGAAATACGAAGTTTTATTAATGTATACACTGAATCTTACCCTCTTTGGCTGTGAAATTGAATGTTGATTTAAGGGCATCTTCGTAAGAGTTGAAGACAAATAATGATCCTGAAACAAACTTAGCCGTGCATCCAACTGCCAGTCCAACCCACTTCATCACAATAAAGTATCGCGTTGACCGCTGATCCGCCATTTTCTATCATTGAGATATCGCAAACCTATGTGATAACAGTGTAGCTAGGAAACATTAGGTAATATTAGTCACGTAACATGTCCATCTCGATAAACTAGACAAGATCACAAGAGCTACACTCCAGAAGTATTTCAGTGATAGGGTATATCTTTTATGTTATTGTAAACTAAATCAACGGCTAGAGCAATAAGCTATCTAACCGGCATTCATCTTGAGACAACTTAATTGTTGAATTGAAGCAGGTTCAAAAACACGCAAAAGACGTCATTGACAGAGTCTCTCCTACACTGACACAAATGCCGGTATATGTGTGTTACGCTAATGGTTAAAGTAAATAGTGTGTACCACAAATTCGTCGGGAAAGTATTTTATTAACAATTACCCCAGAAATCTGAAAATTTCATTTTTAAAAGGAATTAGTCGTATTTTTGAGCTTTTCTATTGAAAATAAGATATCACTTCAGGTTCTGTAAATTTCTTTTGCTATTGACTGTATATTTTCGTTAGATGCCTAAAACCATTCCTATATACAGTTATAGTTTTCAGGGAATGTTTTTTTCTTAAATAAAGCGAACAATAACAAGCTAAGATATTAGTCGTCCATAAATTATGGCCGAGTGTTTATGTCAATTTTATCGCCTTTCTACATTGTCGATGCCTTAAAACTTTTCCTACAAAGAATGTCTTATATCATTATATAACAGCAAAGAGCAATGCTACTATGATACAAGTGCGCCTATATCCCCACAGTTGACTAGGACGTTTTTTTTTTCAAAGTCCCAAAAAGCAATTTTCCAACTATTGTATATTGAATATTGTTAAAATATGAGTTTGTAAAGATCTAAATGACATGTTTTTGCAATTCAGCAGAAAATTCTGGTATGATTCATGTTTGTCTTCAGAGATACATTGATATAGAAAATATGTGTGATGCTCACAAGTTTACCTGTTGATTCCATTGTTCTATACCTTGTTCTCATTTGAGAAAGTGAGGAGTCACCGTTTAAATTATATATATATTTGTATATATCAATCTTGCCCCAATTTGATTTAATTTGAATTCGGATCATAATTATGTTTACAAGTTGGTAATGTCCTTGACTTGTTTTCTAGACAATACATCAAGTCCACGAGACTGATTAAGGATGGTGGCGAAGAATATTGGTGCTAAGCTATAATCAATCCACCAACAAGAGAGGATTCTATCAATCACTGTCCATTCACCTTAGGTGGACCTTTCAGGTTATGCATTGGCTAACTCCCTATGCAGTAAATGATAATATCTTCGCATCTTCATCCAAAATTCAGAAACATTTATTCATTGTCATATGATTATTTTCGACAAATTAAATTCATACAAATGTAAGCGCAATCGCCAGAAAATGACAGCAACATTGGAAATCAGTAAATCAGTAAACTTTCAAAATGATGTTATCAGTGGCACACCACGAATGAAATCAGGTTAACTATGTCATATGTCTATCTCTTTCGTATATACAGGGCCACACCAAGAATCATTGACAGTATGGCCATTGCAAGGGTAACTGCATGGCCGCCACGAACACAACTCATTCCATAGCAGTACACCTCGCCAGGGATTGAAATTGCCGCGTCATATAGTGCACCGAATGCCTCCTGGGCTCCGAAACCAACTAAAGAGGATACCAAAAGGGCAATACCCCAGTTACGGCCGAGATTATTTACACTGAACATTTCACTCATGACAGCAGGAGCGATGGACCAGAGGATGCCCTGTCCCACACCATTAATCATTGTGGCAGTGGCAAGAGCCGGGTACTTGTCACCCAGCCCTACCACCAGGCACTGGCAAATAACAAATGTCGTATTTCCTGCAACGAGGATCCCAAGACGAGGTAGTTTTTGGTGGAAGTGATCAGAAATCACTCCGATGGCGGCACTGATGATGGCGTTGGTAATGGGAATTATTAGGACAATGTTTGAGTTATAACTGTCCAGGCCTAGTGCTGCTGTCGTTTGTGTTAGAGCGATCGTGTAAACCAAACTAGATACAGACGCAAGTGTAATTACCCACGTCAGAAGCTGGAAGTCAACGTTGGCAAAGATCGAAAAGATAGACATGTCATCGGAGCTTGTGTCTCCAATTGGAACTTCCGAATCTACACCAAACGATTTGTTATTGTCATCATCCTCTGAATTATGAATAATCGTTTTCGTATTACTGCCAGCATATGAAATTTCCTGATCTGTAGCTGTCGTCTTAATACCAGCAATGTACCCTGGCTTTCGGGTCATGCTTATATCGTTTTCACCAGCGAAGGCTTTGTTGTCATGTTTATCGTTTATTCTTGTCTCCGGCACTGTTATGTCACATGACTGGTCATGTGGTAGTACTCTCATGAAAGCAATACAAAAAATGTCAATGACAACAAAACACACGGCGAACACTAACATCAGAGTTGAGAAACTGTCAGCACTCTTGGGGTCATCCTTCCCAATAACATGGAAATAAAGCGCTGAAAAAACTGATGGACTGCCAGCGAAAAAGGCATTGAGGATTCCCACGATTTTTCCACGGTGTTTTGGGTGGAAGTTGATGGCGTTAGTGTTGAGAGCGACCATATAGGTGAACATTGATCCTAGACCTGCAATTGAAAAGATACATATCTGCACTTCTGTTTATTTATACGAAACGCCAACTAAGAAAAAAGAAGATAAAAACACGAGCAAGTTGCTAATACATCAGGCTAGCTGTCTAGGGGAGAAACTGCACAATTATCTTTGATGAAATTCAATATCCTTCTTTAGGATCCTTTGCTTAGACATATTACTATCTGTTTGACAAGAAGATATTTAATGGATTGTGTCATACTAACCTAGTTTACTTCTTTTCAATGCTGTTTAGTAGACATATAATAACAGAAAGAATTTATATGGATTTGAAACTTATATATCCATCTTAATATCATTTATGTGATATTTAAGTTAGGAATTCTCCTCTATAGTTATAAGATTTCTTGTAAACTATAAACATACTTTAAAAGAAGACACTCACCACAGAGAAAGAAATAGATCGCCATCAGCCAGCTGTTAGAACTATATAGTGAAATGTTTCTAGTGGTACTCCACAGAAGTAAATACGCCGCCAGGGATAGAACTAGTCCTAACCCCGAACACCACTGGGGCCCGAACCGATCATAAAACATCCCTGGCAGGAAGCCCACTCCTAGACCAACACTTAGCAATGATGACTGTAATTGAACTTAAAAACAAGAGATTATGTATCGTGGGTCATTTAGAATGGAATCAATTAATACTGAAAATTGCTTTGAATTATGGACTTTCTGCAACTACCCGTCTTGCTTCCGATATTTATTTGGGCAAATTTGTATTTCCGTCAGCCTCCTTCTAGGTTTTGCGGTCCTTAGCATTACCCATACGTTCGGTTCGAGAAGGGCGAAAAGCTGTATCATGCAAATTAACTTGATTTGTAATAAACAGTACTACTCAATTGTGTGTCTTTTTCACAATATTCAGAGTTAATGACATCAAAATAGGTATATCAGTTTCATATAACCAATGAAATCATTATCTAGAACATTTATAAGACCGTAAATGGAATGAAGCTACTATTCTGACCTGACAGACGCCATGATACAAAGAGTTTTATTAATGTATACACTGGATCTTACCCTCTTTGGCGGTGAAATTGAATGTTGATTTAAGAGCATCTTCGTAAGAATTGAAGACAAATAATGATCCTGAAACAAACTTAGCCGTGCATCCGATTGCAAGTCCAACCCACTTCATAACAATAAAGTATCGCGTTGACCGCTGATCCGCCATTTTCTATCATTGAGATATAGCAAACCTATGTGATAACAGTGTAGCCAGGTAACAGGTAAAATAAGTCACGTAACATGTCCATCTCGATAAACAAGATAAGATCACAAGAGCTACACTCCAGAAGTATTTCAGTGATAGGTTATATTTTTTATGTTAATGTAAATAACAATAAGTGATACAGATAAGCCCCTACGGCCAAACATTAGGACAATTTAGCTTCGGCCTCTGGTAAATGATACAAATATGAACAGACAGGTACAAGAATTGTACCAAAGGCATGGTGGTTATACAAACGATAGGCATTTTCCTGAGTTCATTATTCAGTCAATCGTCTTGATCAAGTCAAGATGTATCTGTAAATAAGAGAAAGGTCAAGTCAAACTTTTTCTAGACTTCCGGAATGCCTTTTTGAGCATGTCTATTGAAAATAATATATCACTTCAGGTTTTGTAAATTTCTCTTTCTATTGACTGTGTATATTTTCATTAGATGCCTAAAACCATTCCTATATATATATCTTTATAGCTGTCATGGAACAAATACAAGTTTAGATATTAGTCGTTCCTAAGTTATGGCCGAGTGTGTACGTCTATTTTGTTTTATCGCCTTTCTACATCGTCGATGTCTTGAAACATTTCCTACAAAGAATGTCTTATGTCATTATATAACAGCAAAGAGCAATGCTACTATGATACAAGTGCTATATCCTCTCAGTTGACTAGTACTTTTTTGTTTTCAATATCCAATATAAAATTTTTTCCAACTATTGTATATTGAATATTGTCAAAAATATTACACCGATATTGGGAGAGAAGAAAAGCCGAGAAATATAAAGAAATCAATTAGTGTTTTTGGGTGAAGCAATTTTCACTTTCTCGTGGCAACCATTGAAAGATATTCTTAAATCTTTGATAATGGTGGACAAGAAGAGGCAATAACTGACACCAAGGAAATGAATACCAGATATCGATGGTCTTTTCTATTGTTTTAAAGGCATGTATTTAAAAGATACCTTTACTTTTGTGTTCTATATATATATAATGAAGGAATTTACATTTTTTTTGTTTCTCCTCAATTTCTGTCTAGATTTCAGATTTTCCCTTTGTTTCAATTTTTTTTATTTGTTTTGAAAACTTGATGAATTTAACAAGTAAACAAACCTCGAAGTTTTTTAT